TTTCTCGTTCGAAGGATAAATTAATGTTCGGGCAATGGAGAGCCATATATGGCGAGACGCGAAGATTTATGTTCGATTTCTGCACTCACCATAGTTTTCAGGACGAAACGGAAGTCATTGCAAAAACTTTGACACTGGTCGTCTACGTCAAGGACCTCGGTGGCAGGCTCATCGTCGCGAGCCGTTTCATGCTTTCACGTATCTCACGATTAATCGTCCAGAATATCCTCCGACGACGTCGAGAAACAAACGTTTCGCGCACTGACCGGCCAATTTTCACCAGGATCACAGTCTACGAGTCTGTTTCATCGCTGCGTTTCGCGTTAAACACGTTGGAGCGATACTCTTTCGAGTTCCTCGAGCGCGGAGAGTGCAGGCGCCGGCCGACCGCCATCACAGAAATCAATACAACCCTTAAGGGGAGCTTACGTTGTATGGGATTTGATCAAACGGAGAGTTTCGCGGTTAATCGTTGTTGTAACTTTGTACATGGTCGCCGTAACGACCGGGTTCACCGGACAAAAGATGTCTCGGGCTCAACAATGGATCACTTTCACGTTTTTTGGGATTTTTAGTTGGGTGCACAGTGGAGCCTCCATTGCACGGAAACGGTCACGCGTCAAAATTTCAACTAATTTTCGACCGTTTAATTAATGCCGGACCGCTCTATTGCTGGAAGAGTCGTTCTCCACACCTACGTCCTGATTACGATCATTTTCCATTCGACTTCCTGAACGTTTCAGCTTTCGGTACGCCCAGATATGATTTCTACGATAATTGGTCCGTACAGTGCGTTATTTTCTTCCGTTGGAAATTAGTGGACAAGAAATATGACTGTCGGTGCAATAATCAGGAACTACGGGGTGGGACGAAAATCTCGGCGCAAACCAGGAAGAGGAAACCGATTCCTCCGTGTAGATTAACGCGAACCGACAGAACCGACTCTTTCTTTCAAATTTCTAGAAAGCTGCGCTCGACAAGTAGTCATCAAAGCGTTTTTACCTTAAAACGATGGTCTCCAAACACTTTAGAAACGTGGCCTCCCCAAATGAGCATTTTAAAATATCTGAAAGGTGATCCGCGTTGGCGGGAGTTCGCGCGCCATTGATCCGAATACGAATCTGCATGTAACGGCAGAAACAGTGTTTTAAATTGAACAAAAATTAAGGATTACGTTACGCTTTCACGAACCATGATTACTCAGGGTCTTATACATATTGTATGCGGTCAGGTTAGAGATCCATAATGAGATTCTTGGCACTTCCAGTTGCATTCGATTGAATTTCAAAATTGTTACCGTTCGGGGGCGGAAGTTCGTACACAGAAAGCTCATTCCAGCGGATGAAATAGCAAGTTCTTCGATTTTTCTTTTAATAAAAAATAGTTTGGCGCAAACTATTACCGTGGCGATATAAGAAAATAATCGATGAGGCTAATTTTAAATTAAGTTGATCCGCGTGGTTCGATAAGTACTCATTCGGCGACGCATCAGCGATAACGGAAGATGCTATAAATTTATTAAATTTATGTTTCTGAAATGAAATTAATAGGGCTGTAGGAGATTAATATTCATAAGCCTCTAGATAACACCGCTAGACGGTTACATGTATTTGTTTAAACCTGTTCTCGCAAGTTCATTAAGCGTACGACTTGGTCGCATAGAAGTTAACATGAACCTGCAATTCATGCCCAAGGCAAGTATTAAGTCCATCCGAGGCGTCGACTAGCAATCTAGAAAGAAACGTTTATTTATGAGAAAACCGATACATTCCCATAAAAACAGCTGTTAATTCTTCTTGAGAAATTAACGTAGAATTTATAGGCGTATCTTAACACAAACTACAAGGAAGTTGCTTGGTACTCGACCCATAAAAAGCAGAACTGCAAAATGAGATTAATGTTTACTCGTTAATGTCGACGAGGCAAAAGATACGCACGTAAAACGAATGTAACCCAGCCCATTATGAAATATAGAAAAAAGGGATTAAATAATTGGAATTTACGTATATCGGGGCGTTCTTTAAATTATACCGGATTTAATAGACGCTACAAACTAAAAGAAGTTGTCATTCGTTTCAACGAAGAGTACGCATTATGAGTAAAAGACACCCGTTCGAGAATGCGTTTAGTGCAAAGGTATTTAGTTCTTGCGTCGCGGCGAGTTTCACTGATTTTCTCGTCTGCATCGTTTCTTCGACACCGAGAAAAGCCTAGGTATTTGCAAACTTTTCACGAGCTACAATTAACGGTACCTCGGTTCTCGTATAAGAAAAGCACAAACGTTGTCGTTGTACTGAAACGGATCTCGACGAGAGATGTTCACCAGCCTTATCTAGACCCAAATCTCGAATATAAATGTTATTAGGACTATCCGTTACTTGTTGGATAAAAGTAAAAAGACGATTTCACGGCTCGCTGTCCGTTCAAATGGTTTTCCTTACGGGCGAAATTGTATCCGGTTACAGACAGCACAAGTTGAAAACAATGTGCACCGGTTTTAAGAAACGACTCGCCGTTCCCTGTTTTGATAATGACAGCAAAACTCGTGACATTCACGAGCGTTCGACGAGTTGCAAAGAGGTTCTCGCGGAGGGCACCGATTTCTCCGCGTTACCGATAAACCAACGAGACTTCCGGTCTCCTCGGGCGTTGAAAAAGTTTTCGCGCCACACACCGGGGCGTTATTTCCATGAAAATAGGAGCCCGCCCGCGTTTAGGCGTGCTCCTTTTACGTACGTCGAAGCTTAAATAGGACAAGCTAGTTGGAAGCTGAACAACTACAAAAGATGACTTTCTATCGACCAGTCACGGTTTGTTCTTCCGCCCACGCAATCAACGGATGCCCCGAAACGTTTTCTTACGGTGTTAGGAGTATTGTTAGTTCAACGAATTATCGTTTTGCAATTTAATTCCAAGTTTGTTATTCGATAACGGTGCAGTCGCGCGTAATCATATAGCTAAATGCGTTTTCATGCCCATCGGGTCGACTACTGCACAATGTTATTATTTAGCAAGACGGTAACGTGACGGTTAACGGTTTCACGCGCGAACGAATTGTGATTAACTTGTGACAGCTAGCGATGATCAATGATGAATCGAGTAACTGACTTTTGAATTAAAATTCGAAAATTTATAAACATCATTTTACTAGTACCGGTTGCAGTATTGAAATTCAAGTTTCTTCTAAACGAACGGTTCCTCGGCATGAATAGCTTGATACTTTTTTTTCTTGATGCAGATGACTAGCTAGCGTATATGATTCCACTTAAAAGAACAAACTTGACCTCCTTCAAAACTACGTTTATACATATAACGGATCTTCGCCGATCCAGAGGTACAGGGTCCTCCCTTGATAGCCAAGACACGCCATTTTTATACACCCTGTACATGGAAGTGCAAATCTAGGACGTTCGACGTGTTTACTACCAGGAGCTTTGCTTTCTAATATCAAAACGACACCGACATCACGAATCGGGCGCCTCTATTCTAACAACCGGGACCACCCACGCGTCTATCGGAATCGACTCGAATATACGCGAGCATATTTGCGCGCGTTATGTGACCAAGACCAAAAAGCAACCGTCATGCAAGAAACAAAAGAAAAGTGGAGGAATGAAGGACTCATCGAGGTCGCCGATCGAGGTCGACATTTAGACTAGTGTGACGTCTAATCACGGCGCACGTGAATGATGCTGGTACCGCTGTCCTCTCGTAAGGGTGTCATATCCTGGAGAGAAAACTACGTCTGTACAGGGTGTGAAAAGAAACATTCATCGGAGTCACGATCACGGATGAGTAAGCTGATGGCCATGGCGATGAGGAGCCTTTTTTTCCTTTATTTCGTTACCTAAACGATTCAGCAAAGACTCCAAGAAGTGTAAGAATCCCGGAATACGATATCCACAACGTTTCCTGGTCGTAGGAGCAGTTCTCCCTTTGGCGCAGATCCTCGGGTTGCATTATTTCTTTTACACCGCGTATGTAACGCGCGAGATCGGAATCTTGGACTTAGAAGCGTCTCTTTCAGCCGAAGATGAAGAGGCCTCACTCTCCTTGGTCTTTCTCTTCCTCGTTTCGATATTCAGCCGCTGTTGCATGGCTTCCAGTTCCGGAAGAAAGGTGTCGTTATTGAGTCCATGAATCTTTCTACCATGAATGAATTCTCTTTGTTTATCGTCGTTCGAACGGTTAAAAGGAATGGCGCGTTTAGGACTTCGCCAGCTATTAATTCAGCGGTTTTCAAAGGTTTCGAGAGGCATCTTCTGTAAAAAGAGGAGTGGTATGTAAGGAATCGCTGGAATATCGTAAATTATCATTACATTGTCTACGTTATTTCGTATTCAATGGTCACGAGGCATATTTATCATTGTTTTTAGGTGAAACAAGAACACCGCGGTTCGGTGGCTGCAGTTTATGCGCGCAATGCAGTGGAAAAGTCGGAAGAACAATGCCGTTTTCTCTGCAAAAACTCATGTTTTTTGCTAGGATGTACATAAGCTGTGATCATCCAGCCGGACATTGATTTTCGAGACTCGATGTTGCACGCCCTTTAGAATGTTTTTAAAATATGAAACGATCATCTACGTGCATCCTACCGTTACAGTTGCGAATGAAATGGCCCTTAAAATGCATTTATCGTATTAAGCTTCGTTCGACGGTACAACATTTAACTTAAACCGACACAGCCCGAAGTTTAGGTTCTTTATGATAGTTTTCGGGCCCCGATTTCGAGTTATGGAATAGGACGCGTACCACGAATTGGATCATTTCACGTTCTATCGACGACGCCGAAAGAACTTGTTTGTTGGTCGCAACGTAACTTCCGTCGGCCGCTGGATTGTTACGCAACTGTAGGAAAACGTCAACAGGACCGAAGTATTCAACGATATTTGCAATTGAAGTAGATTGCGTGTAACTGCCATGTAATAGATTAATTGGAACGGCTCGATGCCGACAGGGAAGGTTGCTCAAAACGTATCGGCAGTTGTCTAAATCTTAGGATGAAGAACGCGGTCCTGGCGATCCTCTGTTATTCGTGGCTGAACCTTTTCGCGGAAGTGCATTCTAACGCGAGGTAAACCAAACGCTCTGGCCCTGCGATTGACACCTTAAAAAGGTTCTCCGGTTTTGAGGGGGGAAAAAAAAGAGTAATTTTTTTTTTTTAAAGAAACCGTAGGACCTTTCAATGCAACAATTTTTCTTAATACGAAATGTTAACATCCGTAAGAGTGTAAAAGGTGTTTTAAATTCTGTTAAAGTTTCGAAAGTTCGTACAACTTCATTCTCAAAACGTTGCATGTTTGATTTACGAGGTACAGGTGAATCCCCCTTGGATGCATGGCGCGCCGTACATCGCACGCCATTATTCGTCTTTTTATTCGCACCGCTGATGTTCGTTGCCCGGTGAAATATTTAGCACGCGCACGGATACTTTGAATCCTTGAAAATATTGCCCGCCTGAAAGTATTAATTAATTAAGTGATAACAACGATAAAACAGAATTTCAAACACGGTGATTTACGATCCTCCGCCGTCCTCGCGAAAGCAATCGCATTCCTCCGCAACACCGTGCCGATTCTCCCGTTGCAAAACGTGCCCGATAAGTGAAAAATGTATTCGTACGGCGATTAATTTCAAAAGAAAGCTTCGTACAGCACCGCGCGTTAATATATTTTCGCAACGCGAACTCTTTTACAATTGCCTAGAATAGATTTCGTGCGAGATAAACTTTAGTCTTTGCTCGAATATCATTTATAGGAAGAAATGCATGTTAAATCCAACGATAAATCTCTTGTTTGTTTTCGCAGCTCGTCGTCCGAGAATGCGAAGAATTCCACGCTAAAGTCTGGTATACTATTGCCGGAGCATTACGTGAAAGGTTTGTTACATATTTCTTGCAAGCGTAATAAAAATAACACGCAAAGTAAATTAATGTATAGAGAAAGGTGTCCGGGAAGAGTGCAACCAAGTGAAACTCGGTTTCTTCGTCTCCGCGAACGTTCGAACGAGACAATGTGGAGGGACGAAGTCATAGTCGAACGACTCTTTCCTCCAAGCGACAAAATTAGAGGTTCTTGCGGGTTATTGAGAAAATTCATACGCTTCGGTGAGAAATTATATCTAACTGGCCAGATCCAAAGAACGGGAAGGCTTCCATTTTACAAAACGCGCCCAACGTATCCCACTTTCCGTGAACGAGCGCTCGGTAGCAATGGCCAAATGCAGAAGCCACATCGAGATATGGCTTGTCGCCGCTTAACAATTCATGGAAAACGGTAAACCATCAGTCCCCGAAGCGTGCGTGTAAATAACTCGAGAGATTTACGATCGTGTAGATCCGCTTATCTTTAATTCTGACCGGTGCCGCCTCGATTCGACCCGTAGATTCCTGGAATAAAACTTTACACGGATGAGCAATTATTATGCAAATTAACTGTCTGTGCAGAGATCAGGCCCCCGTCCAAGCATGGCATGCCGGTGATAGTAGACTTCAATATCCTCGTGGCTGATATCAACTCGATAAATGTCGAGGATATGGATTTTCGGTGAGTTACAGAGCCATGAAGTTAAAATTTATTTGAAACTTAAAACGTCACGGATAAAATCCGCTTCGATTGTTTAAGATGAAATACGATGAGTTTTTTAATTGAACAGTTTAAACGGGGGATTTCGAGAATTCGAACCGCCATTATGGTACCGCGATGTCCTGCGATACCGTAGCTAAGAAAGAATTAGTAGCTACCGAATTGTTTTTAGAAGACTGGTAAAACTGATAGAAATTGTCTGTCGAAGCAGAGTGGACATGTTCGTGCGCGAAAGCTGGATAGAATCACGCCTGGACATGCCGGACAACATCTTCGAGGAGGGCGACGATTACGTAACATTGCCGCCCGACTTCTTCGACAGTTTGTGGCAGCCTGATTTGTACTTCTTGAACGCGAAAGTTTCCGGTAAGTTTCACGGTAAATATTCGATGTACCTTCCTTGGAAACTTCCTACCCTTTCGACGCTATTTTTTTCTTTTTTTCTGGTTTCAGAAATCGCAGCGTTAAATCACAAATTCTCCTCGGTGAATTTGTACAGAAACAAAACTGTCAAGTACTCGGCGCGGATGCACGCTATCATCGCCTGTCAAATGGAATTTCAGCTCTACCCGATGGACATACAAATATGCCCTATCTATATAGAAAGCTGTAAGTTGACGGTACAAAGTTTAAAAAGAGGCATGCACCGCGAACGAACCATTTATCCGCAAAAAATTCTGTTTGGAAACTGTATCGACCGATTAGATTGCTTTTGTCGTTCCTGAAAGTAAAACGCTTACACCCACTGTGTATCCCGTGTCCTTGAAAAGGTGGTCCAGATGCCCTGTATGCTCTATCATCGGTTTCCGTTCATAACTCTGCCCAATAAGATCCAAGCTCGATAGAGTCTCTATCATTAATTTGGAAAACTGCGTTACTCGCAATAGTTTCCTATCACAAACAGAAGTTACGCTTACGATGGGGAGCGGGTGGCGTCACGGTGAACCCGGAACTGAAGCTGTTGCAGTACGACATTGGGAAACCCATGATTGCCGAGGAAACCGTCGACTACATGGTCGAGAAGAGTGGTACGATCGTAATTGTAACACCAAACTTTCGTTTGGACCGTCATTAGATTGCCTGACGATCTTGAGTTTCGAACATATTTTCTAGGAAATTTCTCGCGCCTGGTGGTGTTCTTCCGTTTCGAGAGGCAAATCGGTCACCATCTGATACAAACGTTCGCCCCGTCGACGCTGGTGGTGATGCTTTCCTGGTTCAGCTTCTGGTTAGGGCTGGACGCGATCCCCGGTCGGGTGGCACTGTTGGTGACCAGCATGCTGACCCTGGTAACGATGTTCACCGGCCTCAAGAGCGACATTCCTCCAGTCGCGTACGTGAAAGTACGTTTTCCCAGCGTGGCCTTTTCATTCAGGTTCACTAAGAGTTTTGCAGACTTCGCTAATTACGTCGTCAAGTACTACCGATCGCAGATAGCGAAACGCGTTAACGTCGGTTAGTTTCACGAGTAATATATCTTTACATAATGTGTTTATTGATCAACGACGTATGGTACGATATACAGGGTGGTTCAGACAACGTACATATCAGAGAATAGAAACAGTAAAATTACGTACACGTGGTAGTAACCTTCCGTACCGTTAAGATTTGTTACGCGACACCTGAATCGAACACTATCCGACGTTTGATTTTTAAACGACGCCTCGTAAAATGGTCTTAATTGCAAAGAAAACACTTGGCTGCGCGCAGAACCACGCGCGAAGGATAGAGCGCTCGAATCTCGACGTAACCAATATAAAAAGAAATGAAACAGGTTTCGCAATTTACACGCTTGACCGTACTAAACGGTATTCAACGGTAAAAAAATAAATTCTACGATCATTGTATGACTATATAAGCAGAGATGGGCAAAATTTGTTGGATGAACGTTCATCCAAAAAAATCTGAGTCGCTCGCTTGGCTGGTAAGCAAGCTGTTAAGGTGCTTTTTGTGTGCCCAGGCGCTGGATGTGTGGATGGCGGGTTGCATGATGTTCGTTTTCGCGGCCCTCGGTGAATTCGTGGTAGTCAAGGTGCTCGACTTACGTTATCAGCTAGAATACGACCTACGAGTATCAGTAATATCCCGACTCTATCCAACAGTTTGTATAATGGCTGTAATGTTGCGTCGAAAATGCAAAATGGATGAGATTTTATTTTATTTTTAGCGGATAATTGCCATGGAAAAAGGCCAAAGCATTTGGGACTATGAGTCAACGTATGTTCCAAAAGTAAAAAAAAAAAGAGCTGGTAGCAAACATCTTCTACAGACTGCTTGGCTGGATCCCGAGTATCAGATGATACGCGTGTACAAACCGCAATCACAGAAAATTGACACTTACAGTAGAATGGGATTCCCCATACTTTTCATGTTGTTTATGATTCTATACTGGCCAATACTATTGCTTAAAAAAGCCGCGTAAAATTATGTACAGTCACGTTAAAGTAAAAATGTGTAAATTATTTCATTGCACGATACATACTATTATTACATTATTATATTCTTGTAACACGTTTTAATCAGTGTTTCATAAATGTAATTCTTTCGGGTAACAACTATCGCATAGAAATGTCGTAGAGTGAAATTCATCTGGTACAATAAATGAGACAAATATTCTTACACAATTAGTATATTCATTAAAAAAATCTTATATATAATTTGTACATATATATGAAATATTTATATATGCATTTAATAATAATTTACCTTCTTAGTTTGTCATGCTTTTAGAGAATTTCTAGTTCTACGACCGAATGATTGTCGGATTCCTCATCTGTTTCCGATGTTGTTTTATTTGAAATACATTTTTCAGCTTTGCGTTCTCCCACTTGTTTCAAATAGCTCATCGTATACTGATTAAAATCGCATCTGCAATGACAAAATATCAACGATTCTTTTTAATTAAATAATCAATTATTACATAAAGTTGCAAAGTGACTAACATTTTACTCAAATCATCGTATTTCTTTTGCATATTTTTCTGCAACATTAATAATATCGGCATTTGAAGTGCAGAATTAATTTTTGGTCCATGTTTCGTCAATATTGTTTCTACCCAAATTAGATAAAAATGTATGTGTCTAGACAATTCTAACTCCAATGCTATGAATTTCAGTACTTTTTCTACATAGATATCAGGTAAATTCGTCACGGTTAATTCGACTGAAATTAAATATACAATATACATATATATGCATTGGATATGAACTAGTTAATAAGTATCGGTAAAGTATTTTTAACTCACTATCCATGCACGGAATATTTTCTACGACACGCTTTATCAGCAACTTTTCATTCAGCTTTAACGCCATTATTAATGCTAAAAACATATCTTATCAATACGAGTTTATTCCGAGCGAAGGAAATATATAAACAATCAGAACCTCTTGCATATTCCTTTTCGTCTAATGTTTTTTTCACAGTCTCTGGTGTAATTCCTAGTTCCAATTGAAATGGATCAAATACCAGACCAACATCTAAGGAATATATTAGTAGACCTTCCGTTGTAACTGCAGCCCATGCTTGTCCTACATAATAGAAATCGATAATCGAAATAATCGAAATCGGAATCGAATATCGATGCAAAACTGTTTCTTAAAGCATTCAACGCATACATATACTATAAAACTAAATTTTACCTGTTGGAGAAAACTGCAAGCTAAAAACCCTCACTTCTGGTTTCATCCTTCTGCTTGCCATATCTCCGCTTTTAACACCTGGCAACCGTAACGTCACATTTCCTCCTTCGTTTTCTTCACGCTCTTCCACCAGGGCCAAATTTCCAAATTCCGATAGATATCGCCTGTTTATAATGTCCTATGCATAAATAAATTTTTGTTAAAAATAATACAAATAAAGTAACGATAAATTGACGTAAGAAAGTTACTTACGTCGACCGCGTCTAACGATCTATTTTGAGTTACGACAAACTTTTTAAGTAGCATAAATTCTTGAACGTTATAAATACATATATTCTTGGATTGCCCACCAGCTAATATACATGTACCGTCAGCCGAATAACATAAAGTATTGAAAGCTCTAGAAACATAATTTTAACAATATATTTCCAAGATCCTAAGTTACTGTAATAGTAACACTTAATTCCAACCTTACAGCACACCGATTGAAAATCGCTGGACAAATATTCGGGTAGTATTCGAATATTGAAATATTGGAAAATTCGACGAGTTGTTCTATTCGTAATTAAAGTAATTCGTATTACATCCTTATGCGAACACTTACTTGCCCTGCAGGTTCCTCTTTGCCGTGATAAGATCGGTATCGGATCTTCCGCTACCTAAATCATTTCTTCCTTCAATGCTACCAATTTGCATAGCCGTTTTGCACTGGAAAAACGAAATCTGCCCATCCAAAGTAGCAACCGCTACTTCTTCGCCGTTTGGTTTGTAAGTAACATATATACCGTCCGCAATTAATTGTATTGTTTCATGAGCAGAACCATGTTCGATTGCATTCCATATTTTCAATGTCTTGTCCCAAGAAACCGATGCTAATTCTGTACTAGTAGGACTTGGACTGAATGCTAAACTGACGACGGGACCTTCGTGTCCGCTTAATATCTGACAAATACAAATATATTTATTTAATAATAATATAAATTTCCAGCAAAAAGGCGTTTCCAAACAAAAAATTGACCGTATACCTCCAAGAGTTTGCCCAGTTTAACGCTCCATAAATAAATTTCGAAGAAATCTTGGCCTCCTGCTGCAAGAAACTCGTCGCTTGAATCTAACGCAACACAGGAGAACTGTACTGGCCGCGGTGAAGTAAGTGTTCTAAAATTCCTATACCTTGCTAAGTCGTACGCTCTGACAGTTCCATCGAGCGAAGCGGAAACAATAAATTTCCTATTATGACTAAACAAAACTCCCGTCACTGTAGATGAATGCTCATGAAATGTAACAGAGCAAAATCCGTTCATCGTGTTCCATAATTTAACTTTTCCATCATCGCCACCAGTAACGATATATTGACCATCCGGGCTATAAGCCAGACAGTTCATGTTATTACTGTGCCCCTGTTGTTTCATAGCATAAGTTTCACTTTGCCATTCCCATATTAGTAACTGTCCAGCCATAGAGCATCCTAAGGCTATCCAATCTCCAGTTGAATTTATTGCAATAGACGAGATACATTGATTAGAAATACTAAAAAATAGATAGAATTATAAATCATTAACCATTACTCTATTAAGAAAAACTGTTTTCCTTTTTAGAAAAGAATCTATAATATAAATAGTCGAATATTACCTAAGAGAATGAATCATATTCACATCAGGCAATTCATACAAATAAAATGAACCGTTATTGAATCCTACTACAAGAATAGAAGTCTCTTGATGATACGCAGCTGCGGTAAGTACAACTTTCTCGTTTTGCTGCTTCACAACGTTATTGGCTAAATAATGACGACATAATTTCTTATAACGGAATTTTTTAATTTCCGAATCGGAGTCAGAATCCAAATCCATGTCGTTGTCTCTTTCAGGGGAATATCCTAAAATATGAACTATGTATATGCTAAAATCATGTAATACGCTAAAATATATATACAAAAGAAAAATTACGCGATTTTTGTAAGTTACGCTCATAAGCTTTAGTTTGCTTCTCTGTTCTCTCTAGAACCTTTTCAATATCAACATCGTCTTCTATATCACTGTCTGGATGGCGTTTATCTTTTTTAACAGGGGGTTCCCACGGTACTAAATCTTCGGCATCGATTGTACAGTCCCAAATACAGAGTTGACCGTTTCTATAAATGACGCGATTAAAAAATCATCGAACTATTTAGTACATGCGCAAATTGTTACTACACTTGTTATTGCTTACATGTACTAATAAATTATATTTATAAATGACTAGTTACCTACTAATTGTAGTCAGATCATAATTCTTTTTCTCAAAGAAACATGCTACGATTGTATCAGAATGACTACCAAGATTAAGAAACCTAAAGTTCGCATATTTTTCTAAACTATATATTTTTGTGGCCATATCTTTAGAACCAACAGCGATTAATTTCGAATCGTAAGACCAATTAACGAAAGTTGTATCATCCGTGGCACCATGGAACACACGTTCCATGATGAATGGATTATATTCGCCCGTCTGTAAACCAGGCGCGTTAAAGATAAACACTAGAAAAATTATCATTATTTTAGTTTACCGACGTATTTAAATGTAAATTACAATTCCATATATAATACATCTTTAAATCCTTACCATTACTTTCTTTGCACACTGCAAAATGTTTACCATCTGGAGAAAATTTTATGCACCTACAACGCCGTTTGAATCTATATGTATGTATAATCATTTTACTGACCATACTGATTACATGAGCCTCACCATCTGTAAACACATTCGAAGTAAAACATTATACAGAAATATTAAGAATAGTTTGACACATATATGGTTTATAGAAATTCTTACCTTCATTAATTGCGATTAATGAAGCACCATTTGGTGATAAATCAATACAAGTATAGTTGTATCTGCTCTCCACGGGTAAAGTACTTGACTTGTTACTAAACACAATTTTCATACATTATTTGATCTATTCGATTGTACTTATGTGTAAATTATGCGTATTATAATAATTAATTGAGCATTAAGGAAAATCATTATGAATATGAGAACACTAGATATCTTTTTTTATAAAACTTACTTTTTCAAGTCAAATATTGTTATTCGATTTCCCACAGGACTGATGACCGTTGATCCATCCGGAGAAAATACTAAGTCTCCTTTACGGTAAACTGTACCGAGTAGATTACTGAACTGCAAGAAGCATTTAACATAAGTGTCATATCGTTAATCAATTTTGTATAATGATAAGAAATGTGATGATGCATTATTTGTTTGAATAATTAACTATCAATGATTTATATAGATAGAAGGTAAATGTAATTTATTCTTGCAACTTTCGTAAGTTAAAAATCATAATATGTCAACAGAAACATGTAATATACTGTAGGATTAGGTTAGAAATAATATGTAGACGATATTAATGTTCAGTTTAATAATTTGAGTGATTTACTTCAGAAATTCTTTGCTAGAAAAATTCTTTGTACCTTATATGCAAACCTCATGGTTCTTTAATGCTTGTGTACACAATGTTTCTTATCAATATCTTTTGCTTTCATTGAGCACGTTATACATAACATTTAAATCGAATGTGCTGCAGCCGCTGTAGTACTACTTCCCCTCAACCACATGTTCGATCACATGTTCGAAATTAAGGTGTTGGCTCTAACTACCGAATCTCAATAATAAATTAAATTAACAATAAATAATGTTAAAATCGTTTGAATTCATGCAGGTTCTACGTATCGCTTTGAAAAATTATATAAAGTCCTACTAATACATACGTATAAGTCGATATCGCGTTTTATAATGCATCAATGAAACATTCAAAAAACGATATTTCTACATGGTTCATGAATGCAATATATCAGTGTTTTTCAAACCTCTTACAGTAAAATTACTTTATTCTTTTAATACATCCTAAAGTGTTCGTATTTCGCGATCTTCTTAGGATTTACTTGATACCGTTCAATAATAAATTCTTTATTACTTGTCTTTCAGACAAAAATATTTCATTTCAAATAAAAGACCCAGTAAAATTTGGTATTCTTTATTAATTTTTGACAGAAGTAGAATGAAAAGTGATGAATATCTTATAAGTACAAAGTATATCAAACATCGATTAAATCTAAATTTCATGAGATGATGATGCTACTTAGAAATTAAGTGGGGGATATTAGGTAAGTCTGAGTCCTGGGAAGTAGTTGTCTAACTCTGAAGTCCAGTTCCACGTTCAATTTGTTCCTGTATTTAGACTTGAATAAAACTCATAAAGAAAAGAATTGTTAGCACACGTATGTGATGCAAAACTACATAAACGATTATAAGGCCTTAACATCGTTCTTTTCTGCCTCCAAATATCGTAGATAAGATGGATTTCCAAATATTCAAGCTTCCTGATCCATTTATTACATTACTACTATTGAAGAAAGAAAATTTTGTAACGAATGTTTGTAGTAAGAATAAAATGCCTCCGAGAGATATTATTTTCGGTTTCTTCGGAGATCTCGCAATATCCAACAAATACGTTTGCGAGCCTAGGTTTGAGAAACACTGAAATATATTGAACAATCTGAAGTTTTGAAACGAACCGCAAAATATCAATATGTCAACTTTCGTTATCCTGTAATATGCAAGGGTATTAAAAGAACATTGAAATTTTCTAATGGAAGTATTTATGTGAAAAAAAATGATCGTAATTTTGACTAATTCTTTGAATTGGGACATGTTTGCTTAGTTACGTTTGAATCTAGTCACGTGTATTCGGGTGTTTAAGGAAATTAACCTCAAAATATCGTGTGTTTGTTCACCGAATACTTTCGAGGGCTAAACGTTGTTTCTGCAGAAATATTTAACATGTTCCCTCGACAATTGGAGGCATAAAAGATTCCGTAAAACGTGAAAAAGAACAGGAAACGCGTGTCACGCGCTCCGAAGAACAAAGCTCTGCGCGACGGGGGTGCGCATTGGTCGATTACGGACCTATGGAGTTGCTTGACGTCAGTTATAAAAGATGAGACGCGCGCCAGGATTCGCTTCCGACACTGTAGCCCACAGTCGCGAACCAATAGCAAGCGGATAGACATTCCCGAGTCGTGGCAGCCTCTTCTTCTCTTGCTCGTCACATGACCCGCACTACTGTACGGTAGGCCATATTTGACAGTGGCACTAGTTTAGCGAAGTGAGCGTGAGTGAAGATCGCTCCTGATTCAGATCGTCGTCGCGTTCCGACAACCTGTAAATACTCGTGTATAATTCGACTAACGGCGTGAGGTATTAACAAGCACGTAACAATGAGCGAACTTTCGGAGGAACGGCCTGTTTACGCGCCCTTCTTCGGAGTGATGGGCGCCGCCTCGGCCATCATATTTTCTGGTAAGTCTCTGTTGTTCGAACTTTGGGGGGCTGGTACGAATCGCGATGATCCTCTGACACCGTACCCGAGAATAGAAAAAGTCCGTTAAAGACAACGTACGAATCGTGGATCGTCGAGGCGCGCCTAACGTCGATGAATCGACCCTGCGAGCACGCCATTTTCTCCCCTACGGACGATACAAAGTATCGAAAACAGAGTAAACCCCAACGGTTTAAACGGTTTTCTCGTCGCGCGACAACCTCCCCGCCGAAGATCTAAATTTGTTCGATTACGAGACACGACTAATTGGATCTTTGACGATTTTCATCGATAAGAAACTTGGAAAAAAGATCGACGATAATAATCTACTATGTTCGTACGATTGTACGATTTATACATATATATTTTTTTTTTCGGTTCTATACTCTATTTATCGTTGTCAAGTCTGTCAGCTCGCGATATGTAACGTCGTGCAACAATACGAGCGCGTTCCGATCCGAAACCGCCGAAGATGTCAAGGATACGGATTCAATTTTGAAGCGCCATTTTTCTAGGCACGTATGTAGATCTGGGATTTCGTAATGTTCCGTAAACGCGGTCCAACCTACCCGAGAGCTTAATTTTACATTACGAGAGAAACGCGTTCGCGGCGTTCGGCCTGGCCACGGTTATTTCGTAATGCTGACCTCGTTGAGTGGTTTTCAATGAAAGGTACCCTGTGTACAACGGCGAAGGAAGTCGCAGGATATTACAAATCGCAACGGAAGATTCCACCTGATAATCGCTTTATCGATCAGAATTTAATTGATTCTCCGGATTCTTGGATGTGTTCGTTCTGAGAAGAACAGACCCGAGGACGCGCATACTTGGAGTTTTCGTGCGTTTCTGTCTCTATCAGGGAAATCAATACGAATCTCCCTTTTCCCGTGTGCGCCAGTCTTGAATGGACGACGACACACGAGGAAGATTGACCCACGAACCAAAGGCACGAGGAACCGAGGAATGCTCAACAGATTTCGATTATATAGTTCGAATCGACGAGTTCCTTTAGAAATCTAACCCGATTCTATACGTTTTCGCGTTTGTTCCTCTTCTATCAAATGTTATCAAAGAATTACGGTTGGTCCATTGTTTGAACGAACGTAGAATTTACTTGATAACAATGATAAGAAATGAAAATTGAAAGGCACACCAAGCATGATTGTCCCGTGCATGTGCCACGCCCCCCTACTCACGGGATGGGGACTTACATGATTATCATGTGACTGCCAACATGAGAATCATGTGACTGCGATTTCCAGGCGAGGCGGAATCGTACCCCGTAACTTAAACATGAATTTCTCCCTTTTTCTGTATGCATACTGAAATTTTGAAAGAGTCCTCGATGAAAAATGTTATAGAGCCGAATACCAACGACGAAATCGGGTCCGCGACCTCGTCGTTGGGATCAATATTAAACGAGATCGATAGCCCTCGGTGGCCCGCTAATAGTATTTCTAATGAACTACCAAGGATTTGTCACGCCTTTTCTTATAAGAAGATTTTAAATGCAATATTCATTTATATTTATTTCAAACAAATCGAACGTTAGTATATGTTGGTATCGATGTCCTTGTCATATAAAACTTGACAGAAAAATTGATAATTTTTGTACTGTTTTCTTCTACGAATTAAATGTTTCTAGCGATATTACGATACTTTCGTATTATAGTTTATTTATTATTGCACGAAATAACACACATTGTGCATCTACATCAGTGGTTTTCAAACCACCCCCTCTCTTCCTACAAAAGCGGAAAGTTTATGCATTCGAGATTTATAGAGGAAAAATGTTCGTGTTTATTTTGATTAATTCAAAATAAGTTCTGTATTCATAGAATACAATAAATTATTGAAAGAAAGTCTTTTCAGCCAAATTGTATGTTTGCCAAACCTTCGCGTTAATGAATAAATTGTATATTGCAAATATGTAGCATAAAATTAAATAAAAAATTGCTGCAATACGAGCAATATATTTGTATAATTACCTTGAATTAAAATTTAGAAATTGGGGTATTTTTTATATTTGTATGTATTAAATATTGCCTTTTATGTCCTCCTCCCTGGAGGGAGGACTTTCTATTTTAGAAAATGTTGACGTAGACATATAATTGTATAACGATATGTTGTAAGTCTTGTTTCTAGATAATCATGATTGAAATAAATACAATCTTTTGCTTGTTTTACTTCCAGCTCTGGGAGCAGCGTATGGCACAGCAAAGTCAGGCACAGGAATTGCTGCAATGTCTGTCATGAGGCCAGAACTTATCATGAAATCTATCATTCCTGTTGTCATGGCGGGTATCATTGCCATTTATGGTCTTGTAGTAGCAGTTCTCATTGCTGGTGGTTTAGAAGAACCTTCTAAATATAGTCTTTACAAGTATGTTACAAATTTCTTAATTGATTTAACTTAAGTTTAAATAGTTCAGCTCACTGGTAGCATAATGGTTAAGCATACTATAGAAAAGTTACATTCGTTCTTTGAGCCTTGTACTATTGTAAGTGTTTCTGAAACACAGGCATATTATTTTCCTATATTTTTGACTGAATGTTTTGTATATTATAAATTCCCATACGTATGAATTATAGAGTAAAAACCGTAAGGAACTATATGCTATCTAAATGCTACCTTCTGGATACTGAAAATACGAATTAATTTTAAAAGGACATTGTTAACAGTATGACTACTATGTTGCATATTTTGATTATTAACTATACATTAAAGAATATTTCTGTAGATTGTTATAGATTACCATAAAAATCATAATAACGCTTTTCTATGTATCCTCTACTTAATTAGATCGGGGCTTAACTAGTTCTAAATTCTTTTGCTTCGTTTAACGTTAGCACATCTGTGTATAATTGACAATTACTTTCCTTCTTATAGTTAACAAGCAATTTTTTTGGTCTTTTTACTAGGGGTTTTATTCATCTGGGTGCTGGCTTAGCCGTAGGTTTTTCTGGTCTAGCTGCTGGATTTGCCATTGGTATTGTTGGTGACGCAGGTGTAAGAGGTACCGCTCAACAACCTCGCCTGTTTGTTGGTATGATCTTGATTCTAATCTTCGCCGAAGTATTGGGTCTTTATGGTCTCATCGTTGCCATCTACTTGTACACCAAGTAAAGAAATTTTAGTGGCAGGAATTGCAAGACTCGTCGCCTGCATCCAACAGCGCTCCCCGACTATTATAATAATTACGACTTGTTTCAACATTTTACTTAAAATACATTTTTCCATGCATACTCACATCGCGTCATCTAAGCATCCTTCTGTAATACTGTATTGAAGTTGATATATTAGAGTCCGAGCATTTAAGAGTTACATTATTCATTACATAAAACGACACAAATATCGAAAAATACCGCAAACAAGTAACAAGAGTGCTGAAAAACCTATTAATCGATTGAGTATTCGAATCAAGAAAAATATAATTCAGTCTTGCAAGAAGAGGATGTGTGTACAGAAGAAACGAAAAGCGACAGGCGACAGGGAGTTACACTGAGGAGAAAAAGGACCCCGATATCCCATGCCGAACATTTCTCTTTCACTGTATAGTAATCATTTGTAGCGTAGTTTGACATTGAATTATCAACCTAAGATAATCGGCTCTACTGAGTGTATAAAGGAAACAAATGTTATTGATAAAAGAATATTTAGCACAATTATGTATTAAATGCAATTACAGTGGCAGCATACGGATTGCAAATGAAACGTCTCTATGACGAGAGTCTAAGAAAACGAAATTACGATATTCGAATGGGAAAAGTGAGAAGAAACACGCATGTTGCGTGTAGGGAAAACAGCATAATACGCGATGATTGTACAAACTGTATTCGAACGAGAGGGATAAACAGATATTGTACGATCGAAGCTACCAAGATACACAAAGTATAGTATGTGGAATGGAGTTTTAGAAGAAAAACAAAATGAAATGAATGTGAGTAGACAATGGACAGATACATAATAGTATTAAGTCAATTCAGTGGCTGCTGGGCGTAGCAGGAAATCGCCACTAACTATGGGCAACAGTGTACGGTTCACGAATTATTTTGGATGACCGCAAAGGCCGGCGGTGATTCCCCCCCTCTTCTGAGCTGAACATACTTATTTCGCGCCTCATTAGAGATATGTATATAGAAATATATATGTTGATGAAGCGACGAGTATGCGAGGCGAGCAAAACTGATTCCGTGCGTTCCAGCAGATGTATGACTACCTAAGAGAAGGGGTTACGAGATAATAATGATATAAAAAAAAAAACAATTTGTACATTCCATAATAAGTTCGTTCAGTGCAGGCGAGCGGGCGCTTGTAACGGCGCGAGAAAAATAACTTTTTTTTTTTTCGAATAAATAACAATTAAATTAAAAAAAATCTCAACACGTGCGTTTGATAGTTTCACATTACTCTACACGACAAAGTTTTCAACAATAAATTACAACCGGGGGCGGTGGAAAAATGTAAATTAAATTCGCCCGAGAGGAGGTTCGTTGTCATGGGAGCTGATAGTGAACCATCCGCGCGTGCTTATGGCCTTTCGATCGGTCAAACGTCTCCTGCCCCCTACCTCCACCCCCCGTAATTATTTGTCACGATCGAGGACAGAGAGGAAAATTCTCGTTGCGCCCGCTTGCCAGATTTTATTAACTGCGCAGTATTTTCTATCTAAAGGAAACAACAAAGCTCAACACGTATAGGCGCATATATATTTTCGGGAGAGAAACGAAAAAAAAACCACGAACACTGAATGTCACAAAACTTTTTCAGTTCACACAACAAAATCAGCGCGCGTCAGCGGGAGTACGGTTTTTCGAGACCCGGATATATCCGGGAAAGGAAAACTAAGAACACTTACGGAGCGGAATAGAAGAGAAAAGTCGGTCGTTATAAGCTTTTTGGTACGTTCTTTTTGTTTGATCGCCAATAGATCCTCGCTTGGAAAAAAAAAATAAAAAAAATATGCACCAACGTATATCGTCATCGTATCGTGAGAAAATCGAACAAGATAGCGCCCGACCCACCGAACGATTGAATTGCTCTTTCGAATATTTGAACAACGACACGACACAAAAATGAAACGGAACCCGAAAACGGCGTAACGGAAATGGAAGAACAGTCGAGAACCTCTTGAAAAGACTCTCGGGTAACTAGCGTAATCAGCGAAACGCAGAAGCGAGGAGCCGGGGAGCGGCGGTGGTGGCTTTTTCTGTAAACGAGAAAAAGAGAGCGAACGAGTGAAAGATCTTCACTTTAAACACACACAACATGTTCAAGAAGATGCGAGCAGAGGGAATATGCCGTATGCCAATTACCTTCCTTCCCATCCGACCCCCGCCCCGTTACCTACCCTCCTGTCTTTAATAACGATAATTAAACATCTGCTATCTAATCATACATTGAGCGCGTGTAATGTATATATCACCCGCCATGCTTTACACTGTACGATTAAAATGTTTAGGCTAGATTAGGTTAGGTATTGTATACCGAAACCTTGTGTAGCTGAGAGAAAGTTAAATCACACACACAGAAGACACACAAACACGTGCAAAAGATGTTTGCTGGCGCGTGTGCTCGAGAAGAAAGGGAGTGAATTATACGCATGCGTGTACGAGTGAACAAGAGTGAATGAAAAGCCAAAAAGAGAAAAAGAAAAAAAAGGCATTGGTTGATAGAGGGAAAGACCGCTGTCACCACCGCCGCTCCCCCACCCCATGTACTATCTTCCAGTGTTGCTAAAAAAAAAAAAATAGACTCATTGTTGAGCGCAAAAAAGTGATACTGATCAATAATAATAATGATTATTTATGTTATAATTTGTCCTCGATGTTACAGAAAAAAACCGTGTTTAATAAAAATTTAATTTGGACAAACAGTATCAGTACTCACTTATCATCGAAATTTAACCTAGCTGTTATTCACGGCGTATACACACTCGAAGCGTATTAGCGGTAAGAGTAATTAAAGTGCATGATGTTGATCCATTTTTTATCACTGCCATTCGATTTGAAGAACATTATCGCGCGTCGTGTTGGTATTAAAAATTTTTTAGTACACGAAAATAGCCAAAAGGAGATAGAGCACCATCGAGAAATCGATTTTTCGTTAATTTGCTAAACTAAATATTTAGATGGAACATCGATGCTTGTCGTATAAATGTTAACTTATTTTGAATGTGGTCGATCATACATTTTCCGTAATGCTTTCGACCTCCGTTGTAGATCCTCTTCAAGATACGACAAATTGTTAGTTTAGAATGGAAAAATTATAAACAATGGTGTAAAAGGAATAGATTTATATATGTAATATAAATAAACATTTGAATGCATACGTTGCCTGGTACTTATGATGTATAGCGTGTCGAAATATGTATATAAAATATGGTTCAATATTTTAATATTAATATAAAAGTGAAAATCCACATAGTTGAAATCTTCTTAAACTGCTATTATACATGTATACAGTTTGTTGGTAATTTAACATCGATCTGTCACAAATTATTCTTACTTGAAAAAATTTTAAGTATGTAGGTTACGAATTGCTTAAACAGACTTGATCTTTTACAAAAAGGAGATATACCGTGTATGTTATTTACCTAAGAGCATTTGTGACACGTTGCAAACGATTGAGAAGATTATAGATGAAACACTGTCGTGATTTATATCTACTAGTTTTGATACAGGATATATCGTAGAGTACCAAGCAACGCATATTTTTACGTGCATAGAAATTTGTTTTTGATATACCATCGCTTATAATTATTGTATTCTAGAGAAATGATATCTTATACTTCGAAGAGGATTAAAAACATTACGTAAAAATATATATCTGTGCTCCGTTTAACTAATTCGTCAAACGTTTTACTTTTATTTCCAAAAACGAAAGAAACACAGTATTAGGATTACGAGTCGCTTTATTTCTCGTTCCGCTATTGTTTTATGTAACATATTTGGTAAATGTTAAATATTGGATTTCTGTTGGACGAAAATTGCAGTTAAAAAATACATGTAACAAAAATGTGTACCAGCTCGTTACGTAACCGAACTCAATTCTGCAGGCAGTTACACGCGCTGTACGCGGCAGATAAATTCAGGTCGTTCTAAAAAGTAAGTTACACACACGCCTCTTGATTCTGATTTCGAAGATAACATTATCGTTGTTAACTGAACTACCGAACGTTATCCGAGTAAGCGGTTTACGATGTGCGTGTGGATCGGTAACAAGAAAAAAAACATTGTTTTAAATTATTGCAAACTTTTGCGGAGTCTGTAAATATTTGAAGAAATATATCGGAGATGGTCTGTGATTAGTTTATTTTATATTATATATTTGTATTTCCGAGATGAATCACGTTTAGTTATAAATTGCAAGGTTCGATTATAAAATTAATTTAATACGTTAAACTGCTGGTCAGCTTTCTTTTTTTTTTATAGATACAAGTCAAAGGTTATAAAAACTCATATATATATATATATATATATAATAATCTTGTTGTTCATATATAATATATAACAGCGTTTTCCAAATTGAAGAATTCAGTCGTAGAAAAAAAAGGTATATAACAGAATGGCACGCAAGATAAACGTATTTTGTACGTGTCAGTCGAAAACGAACACTTTATCTCGATTGTATATCGTACGACGACGTATTTGGATCGTACGGAGCACGGTTTGGAAAGCGCTGGTACGTACATAAATTAGCCTACATTCGCTGTAATACATTTAGCAACGAATTATTTTCTTTTACGAGACGTAAGCTGGATTATCGGTGTCCTCGACGCACGGTACGACGGGGATTCGCACAAGAAACGAAATCTGGGTAAATAATTCGTTTTTTCGTACTCTTTGAAATCAGCTTGTTTTTTTTTTTTTATTTTTATATTTCACGTTTACGGTGAAAGTTTGTCGCAAGGGATCGGTAACAAAAAATAAAAGAAACGACGAAGGTAAGATCTAAAATAACGTTTCACGTACTCGAGGCAAGTTTTTACGATACGACAGCAGTATGTATTTCGCTTACTTAGATAAATACTAATGGCAGTTGATAATGTGTTACATCTATCAATGTAAGTGTTATAGCAAGATAAGATATTCATAGAGGAAGAAAGAGAGAGATTGTGAGCGCGAGAGAAAGAGAGAGAGAGAGCGAGAGAGAGAAAATCGCTGAAATACGTCGCGTATTTAGAATTATAATAGTTAATTATAATTTGTTCATATGTACGCAGTTGTGTTTTTAAAAAAGGCTCTACACGTATACCAAATAAACACTGTTTATTAGAGCCAAATACGTGTAAATAGTCTGCTAAACACATTCGTCTCTGCGATCTCAATTTTTCATAACACAATTAACTTTTTATTATTTTTCTTTTATTTTTAAGGCCTATCATCTACCATCGATTGTCCCGAGAATCGTTGCATGTTACTTTTCTTTTTAATTTTATCGAGACTATTGAACGTGTACCTTGAACCGTGAAGTACAAACGAATTTGGTGCAAAGTATTCAATTACTGATACTTTAGCGATATTATATAGCGTTTTGTATCTTACTGACAATTCGACGCGGAAAAATTAATTTTGCGTTCATTCCTTTCTTTTTTCTTTGATGTTCGTCGCGAATGGACAGGTAAGTATCGTAAAAACAGTTTCCACAATCGTTCTCTGTTAACTGATTATCGTAAATAATTCACAACGTTGACGTGTCTTATGGTTGCTTTTTGCAAGAGAATTATCGGTAAGTATGCGTACAAAGTTTGAATTTGGTCGTGTCTTTCGGTTGCATCTCGATATCGTACATAAAAAGACGACTCAAATCGCAAGCAGAATTCGAAACTACTGTCGAATCGTCGCTAAAATTATTGCTTTATCTTGAATTTAAACGATACGCGTTCACGTTACATTGTTTCTGCCATGTTTACAATAAAAGTGGTACATTCTACGAACAGATCGATCCGTCATCGACGAATGGAAATTCCTCGATCGTAAATCTTCCAATAAGCCAGATTAAACGAAGCTCTCTAACCACTACATGCACTGTGTGTTTTCTGACCATGTTTTCTCCACTCGTACATTTACTCAAATTACATAAAGTCAGTCGTCGGCGCCAGATTTAACAAAGCGTCGCTGTTATATCTGTTGCGGGTTTTTTTTTCTTTTTTTTTTATGTTTTACCGGTATGCATAAAAATCGGAATGTTAATTTTGAATCGACGTTTAAATACATGTCTTTCGGTTTACGTCGTAAACGATCGAATATTTCCGATGAAATGAAATCGACAAAGCACCGAATATCGATGATTAGTCAGCCACGGTGATTCACGAGAAACTACCGTCTGAAATAAGTTTATATCTGCGCGATTTTCAAACAAAAATATACAAAACGACGTCGGTTCTCTCCGAGAAACTCTATTTTTCGTACCGTCTTGTACTTTCGAAAGTCTTCGACTGGCTTGATGTTTAAAATGTTACATTGCAGTATGTATTTTTAAGCATAGTTTTGTAATTGATAAAACAGCAAATACGACGTACATCAAAATGTGACCTTGAGGTGACTCAACTTTGAGGACGTGGAAAAAAAATTCTAAAAATCCGATATCTATTGTATAGATCGTTCGTCACATTGGTTGTATGTACAGTAGATAGTACTGTTTAAGTCATTAAATTTTTCCTGTTCTCAATGGTGACGTCACGCTTCAAGGTGACAGTAGGATACATCATCGAATTGTGTTTCTATCGGTTGCGAAACCACGTTAAAGAAATACGTAGCACGGATTTAAACATTGCAAACTCGTCAGCGAGTAAAACTTTCGTCGTAGAAATTCTGCACATATTTTTCTTTTTTTTTTTTTTTTTTAAACCAATGATAAGTTATTTCAAATGGTAGTTTTTAATAAATTACCCTGAGTATGATATGAACTTGTAATGTATGTTAGTTCAGCATCGATAAATTGAAATTCTTACGCTACCAGAAACATATAAACATTGTAGTACATTTAACGAATTTGCGTCATAAAGGGCAATGACTGTACTTTAAGAAATGATGTTAGATGATCGAGCAGTGTGTTGATACTTTTCAGGGACAGCGAATTGTTAAAAACACTATGATACGACTAACGTTACGCAAGATAAACGAAAGAATTTATAATTTTTGCTATAAGCGTGTTAGATACATTCGGCGGGAGTTACAAATTTGTGTAAAATTCCGTTTGTCGCTTCCGAAAACGGTGAATGGCGACTGGCGAGAGAAAAATAATGAGACAAAATTGTAAAGATGATAATCCTAGGAACAAATTTTTATTGATAAAGATAAAAGATATTTTGATCGGTTTTAATGTCTATGATCAATTAAAAACGATTATAATGTAGTCCGTTACGTGAGAAATAATACTGACGATATTATACATGATTCGTATTCGTTTTCCTTTTCTTTTTTTTTTCGTTTCAATTAAATTTATAATTAATACGTGAGAAAATAAATTAACAAAGTTGAAGTACAATATCGCATATGACATTGCGGATGAAAAAATTGGAATATCGATCGACGTATTCGTTCGCTAAATACCGTGGCTAAATGATCGTTTACGTATTTTGTTTTTCGTTTTTCCATTTTTTTTTTTTTTTTATATATAATAAAAAGGCAACGACCAAAACACGTAATATACCACAAATACCCATTAAATATTACACTAACGTCACTATAAATGTATTTCACGTACAAAGAATATTATTTTCAAATTAATATTAAATTTTTCGCAGCGGGGATATCAGGTCATTACCTTCGAGAGCGAGATAAAACAAAGATATGAATACACGTTCAATACGCATAATTCAACTTGGCAAACCCATCTGAAACAGGAACAATTTCTTATTACTCGATAAACTTGAAAAAAAAAAAAGAGAAAATTCTTTTCACTTCTTGTTTTCTACGAAATTTATAACTGTTACATTTATGAATTATGCGTATCTAAGGTGAACACATATTCGAGAAAGAAACAGATCTAATAACGATCATTGGACATAAATAATTAGACTGACGACGCTCTGATTGCAAACCACCTATTAGATGAAAAGATGCAGTCTAATTCAACACTTCAGTCCGGCAACGGATATTAGAAAATGATGTGACGATAATAATTATAATCATAATAATAGAAATAATATATACATCGTACCGAAGCAGATTATCCACAAACAATGAAAAAATGTATCCAAATTCTTACATTTAGTTCAGTGTATATAAACGTGATACGTACAAAGCTTAACAAGATACTAAATTGAAACCTATGGAAGTGAAAATGTACACGACAAACTGATGAAATTGTCTCTAAATGAGAAAAAAAAAGAAAAATAATGTCTGCTTCTCCACCGATCACGAAAGCTGCGATATTGCACTAACTTTTTTTTAGGCGAACTTATGGCATCGTGTCGGTCTGAAGGTTCACGCACTAATGAAGATCAATGTCAATGCGTAAAATTCTATTAGGAGGCTACAGGCAGGAGATGAAGGTAAAGGTGGTTGATCATCGACAGAACAACCAGGGGGCCATTTGTAATAAATTACACCAAGGTATGTTTATTTTAATTACGATTTTAGTCGTTTCACTAAATTCCTTTCGTTACGGTACGTTAAGTGAACTGTGATGCTGGCTGCTGGTTGTTAATCAACGGCAACTGATTAGTATAATAATTAGAATTAATGGAGCAGCAAGTAGGTACATGGGCAAAATGGTATTTGGTTGATTGGTGTAAGAGTTTTGCCTCTGCGTTCATTTCAAGATCTACAAATTCATTTCTAGCTTCAAAGAGAATTCAGTAATCACACTTCACATCTTATACTATCGAGTCAGTCCTGTTTCCTGATCGATTCTTTTTTTTTTTTACGTTTTTTTTTTCTTTTTCTTTTTTTGTTGCTTTTCATTAGGAAGGTAAGATGCAATTCGATTGTTGTGATCAATTATATAATAGTAATAATAATAATAATTAATAATAATAGATAATAATTCTTCATAATAAATGTAAAAGCTGGTACACAGAGATAACAAGCGACTCACTGGTGCCGCGGACAAAAAGACTTACAAAACGTGACACATGCACAATACTAGACAAAAACTGACAACACAAATCACCAGACTAATTTTTTTTTCTTGCTTGTTTCTGCACCGATGTTCATACAGCGGCGTATATGTTGATATATCTGCTGACCCAATATGATTAAAAATCATATCAATATTTAATTATCTAAAAACATTCTAAAACTTCTTGCTTTATAATGTCTGCTGCAAACCACTCGAGGGGTTGCGAACTATCCATTTTTCTTTTTCTTTTTTTTGGACGTGATATAAAGTCCTCTCTGTTTGCACGAGGGGCTTGACACAGACTAACAAGATGTTTGTGGCATTGGATGGAGATAACTCAATTAGTAAACTGAAACCGCCTGGTTCAGTAATATAGATAGTAAAACCCTATTCCAAATTATAGGTAGTAGCCTGAAGAGTGTACCCTTCTCAGAGCTTTTGCATTCTGTAGTTTTTGTTGCTTTCGTCATCGTCATTATGATCGTCGCTTTCTTCTTCCGTAGACGCGGTATCTAACCACGTTAACCAACCATTGACCTACACCGTTCAATTGTTACGAATTAATCATTCGGTTTCTATTGCATTGTTTGATTATGGAAAAACAATTCTCGCGATAATAAGAAAGAGATTACAAAATAAATTAACGAAGAATATAATAATTTTGTATATCTGGACGAGTGTTCCACGTATTTGTAACATTAAATATATCAATTTTGTTTACCTCGAATAATGCCTTGCCTTTGCCCGGATAAGAGTCAGTAACGCACTCTTTCCACTTGAAATAGGCATCCTCTTCGATCACTTCTAATCGATAAAGTTTGTCGAACCATCGCAGCAGCATCCCTTTTGGAAAATTGTGCGAGAACCAAAATGCTTGAAGCGCATGAAGAGCTGTCACTTGAGACTCTATATCGACAAAGAGTAAGCGCATCAAGCGTGCATATTTATCCAGTAATGCCTTTTCCTTATCTACCACTGCTTTGCCTACGTTAGATGGATCAACGCCAGGTGCCAGTATTGTTTCCTGTTATTATGGATACAAAAATGCTGGTTATTAAAAGTAGGAAAACTAACCTAATAAGGTCAAACAACAGAAATAAATAAACATAACTAACATAATTTAAACGTATGTAAATGCTGTAAATTTATGATTTTATAATCTGTCGGCAATTTGTTAATGCCCTACTATGGTACAAGTATTTTTGTTTCTTACTGTGTATTAATTACAAGCAGAGCGCAGAAAACAGTTAAAATTTGGTATTATCAAACGTTTATCTACGAACATAACTGTCTAAAAGTCGATAGCAACGGGCAATAATGAAATTCTAAAAATTTTCCAAACTAACCTGTGTAATGTGCTTGAGAAGAACGTTCATCAAAGCGTTAATGAACTCTGAATCAGAATGATGCGAAGGTTCTAACTTTTCTTTGATCCATTTGTAAAGTGTATTGGGATTTGGGTCATATTCTAATTGACGCCATATGTCTCCCTGGATCTTAAGAAGCGGGTAAAGGAAGGTCAATTCTCTGTCCTCTAAAATTTCCGCTAATCTCTCTTTCGTCTTGTCAGCTTCAGGAAGCTGACTAATTAAATTTACTTTACTTTCGTTAAAGATTTGCGTGAGCCTTGCTTTGCCTTGACTTTTATGTAACTGCTGGAGAGCAAGTAAAAACAATGGATGGTGTTGGCCATTTTCTGTCACAGCAACGAGATCGGTTAACTGAATTAGATTATCCACGATAGCCCTTGCTGTCAAGAAAGCAACGTGGGATGCTACACAAGGCACAGTACTCTCTTTTTCTGGTATATTGGATACTAGTTCTTTCCACCCCTCATGCATGTGCTGTACAGTGATTGCTTCTGTTTTCACCAACTCTGTTACAAGCTTGGCTGCAAGTTCACGCTCCGAATCCCCGCGTTCTAATGTATTCGAATACAACGTGTAAACTGCATGGCGTAAAAATCGTTCGGGTATCTTGAGTTCTTGAAAAGCTGTTACTGCGTCCTGTGTGTTTGTATGCGTGGCAAGGTCGTCCATCAGGGCATAAACCTTTTTTAATATCTCCTCCCTCGAAGTTCCTTTATCCTTTCTGTCTCTAGCTTTATCTCGTTTGTCCACGGGACCTTGTTTTATCACGATCGCTGGTGGCAATTCCTTGTGCAATAATGGCGAGCTGGGTTTCAGTGTACTAGTAGGTAAGAGTGGTAATTCTGATGCTCGTCCTGAGAACAGATCTGTTATTTTAATAATAAGAGAGAGTTTCGACGTCATTGCTTTATATTAAATTTATGATACTTGGTTTAATATTAAGCATTACGTATTACGAATTTGGTTGATCCATATTTTTTCATTTTATTTGTTCAACCAAACCATTTTTTTTTTCTACAAGTTACTAACATTTTCAAAATCAACGATATTCATTGGCGAAATACGTACCACTGTTAAGAAGTAGATTGCGATTGATTTTCGTTTGTTTAAACATCATAGAATTAGCTGATGGTCTTAGTGACACTTCTTCTGGATGTTCGATCAACATCTTGTTCTTATTGAAGCGTAACTGTTCTTTATTGCTATCTGCAATTAATCAAAGTTACATCTATCCATAAAGTAATAAAAAAAAAAGAAAAAAAGATAATAGTAGTATACGATTTCCAATTAAAATCAATGACGGAAATGTATAGTATGAATGTAAAAACAGTGGGACCAGATATCAATGGATTAATGTAGAAATTTAATATAGAGTATGCCGTGGCGAATTGATGCAAGCAAAAGGGCTACCAAGTATAGAACATGATACAAAACCGAGTTTATTTCTTCATATTCTTTAGTATTCTTAACACTAGAACTACCGACAATTATAGTGTGTTTATTAAAATATATAATGCAATGGAAATAAATGTTCTTATAGAAAATTACGATAAATTTTCAAAAATTTAGTCGAGCAAATTTTTTCCAAGTTTTATTAGAAATTACGAATGGGTAATTTTGACTGGTTTGGTAGTTCCAGTGTTAATAGTAAATATATAGAAAATTTGTGGTTATTGGATCAGTTATGTTCCTTACTGTACACGTGCATATGTTACATGTAATAACATCCACATCGTACTTATTATTTATCGATGGAAAAGGCTACTGTATACTTACTGTTGTTGAAGTTCTGCAGCGAGTTATGTTGTTGTTGATTATGTTTCCCTTGATAGTTGTTTTGGTGACGATTTTGGTTCTGATAGTAACCCGGCTGGTTACGTTGGTTGTGGCGGCCATAACCAACCCCGGAAGTTCCTGAGAATCCATTTGGGCTGAATGGAGATGGCATGCCAAACGAAGGGGAAGTCAATGGAATACTTCCCACCATGTCCATGTCTAATCCGCTACGTCCCATCTTTCTCAAAAACTCAGCTCCGAGGCGATCTTCTCGTCTATAGAAGCCATTTCCCCTCAAAGATTCATCGTAATCACCGCGGATTTGATTGATGGGCATTGGACCTTCGGTGCTAGTAGCCTTGCGTGGTACCCAGCCATCACGGCGTAGCTCAATAACGTCACGCAGCATAAACTTGATGCGTAGAGGAAGATCGCTGCTCTCTGCCAATGAGTTCATACGCCTGAAATATTGATCCATGAGTCCGCGACCTTTATCCGAGTCAAGGATACGGCCGCAGGTACGCATGATCTGACAGAGGCACTCGATATCCTCGGCAGTGTCCCCCCTGGATCCCCCTCGCCTTTTCTTCTCCAATAATTGCTGTATGCAGCGATGTAAAATCGGTTCCGATACGATTCCCAGCTTCCCCAGTTCCCCAATAAATTTGATGTTGCCAAGCATTTTGCGCTTAGCCACCTGTCGGCGTTCTTCTTCCTCAGGGCCGAGATCATCTTGATTTTCGAATGCCTCGCTTGCCTTTGATCGATTTTCAAATTCGTCTTTGCACTTGTTAAGAAGGAGAATTGTGAACGTGCTTTGGCCATTTTGACTTTCAATAAGAGCTTTTCGAGGTTCAAAGTTTGCAGCTTCGTCGGACAGCCGTTTGCACAGCTGTGCATACATAGAACTGTACTTGGGTTCATCAAGAGCTTTTTCAAAGATCTAGAACGTGTAGGGGCTTCACATTAAACACTGTTACGCGTAAGAATTTTACATTGAACACTGTACGAACAGGAAGTTTTTAAATTTGAAAGAATGCATGAGAACAGATATATCGATTATTTTTATGTCTAATCGTTAATACTTCGATAGCCGCATGATTCACGCAAAGACTGCTGTCTACCGTTACTTTGATAAGAACAGCTCGAGATAATTCTCTATACTGATATTATAAACGAAAGTAAGTCACACGAGAATACTAGAAATATCATTATAACGAATTACAAGCGCAGAGATGAACATACAACAAACATAATAAGTTGCCTAGATGATAGTATCGGAGCTAAAACAGTAAAATCACGTACGTGATAGCGGCCGTCGAAGTATTAAAAGCTTTCGAAAAGGTTTAATCTATGTGGGTGTTTTCTATTAAACATTGTACAAGCAAGAGTTTTTTGAATTTGTTTGGTATTTGGTTCGTCTACTCACCAAGAAAATGACACCTCTGAGAATCACATCAGAATTGAGCTCAACGTTGAGCAGGTCGTTGCTCAGCTTTGTGAACTTTTCTGGCGTAAGCTTGTTAAGAATACCCCGCACCTTTCTAAAGATGAGATCATTTCTGCTTTCTGGGGTGAGTGCATCGCGTCTAACAGTTGAAGGAGGGATCCAGCGTTGCTCAGTGGATAGGGAGCGAATATCGTCCCTGGAAGGCATCGAATTCTTTTAATTTCAGTGTTACCAGTAAAAGTGCAACACGGAGGATTGTTTGGGTGTAAAAAGAAGCAGCTCGTGTATGACAGTTACAGTCAAGGTAACGTTCTAGACCCTGACCTTCCTCCCGAGACACGAGAAGCACCCCCCGGTCCTATGGGGTTGTCCGTTGTTGCGCGTGTTTCGGCCCTCTGAGTGATAAATCACAACACACAGATCTTTCTTTAGGAAGCTGAAACAAAGAAAAGATTACAATAAAAATATAAGTAATATTGTCAGTGATTAATTGCTTACACGCATGCTACTCCTTCCATGATTTGAATATTAATATGCAGCCTTTGTACCTAATGATACAGAAATATAATGTATTAACGAACAATCGTATACAACCATGCAATTAAATTCCTTCAATAGGTACTACTTCTCCACAAGACATTAAAACGTTGTTTCCCTGTATAATGTCTTTGTTTCTGTTTCCATACTAACGTTCTTTTTAAATAATTTGAATCTATACTTATTACGAGAACAATTCGCTTAGATTATGTTTGCCGAAGAATGTGCAAAGGCTTCCCCCTGCTACTATACTACTAATCTTCCTTTACTATTTTACACTGACCATCTTTCGCATGCTGTAGCAGTTTACAAATAAGAAATTTGTAAAGATTTACATGGAAAGAAAAATACATAATGTATATACCATGTATATCTTTTTTTTTTTTAATTTTTTAGGATAACATAAATTATCTGGAACAACTGATTTTTTATTTCACATTAATTCGTAAATATAACATCAAATGTATAAAATACTCATGCAAACTACAAAATAGAGATTTATTTAAAAGAACAAATAAAATTCTTAAACACGTACAATCTCTCCTACGTAAAAGTAAAAAATTAGTATACACAATTGTTTCTGAATGATATCTAAAGAGTTCATAAATATTTTTCAAACAGCACCATGCAGAACAAACGACGATCAACATTAAATTTCTCAATCTACAAAGTAAGAAATAATATTTGCTGCGAGGGAAATCGTAAGCAGACTTTAAATATTTATAACGTTATTAGTTTTTTTCCATAGGTAGTGTTCCCTCGAATGTAAGTCACTTTAAACGGAAACAAATGCGACGAGAAACACGTTTGAAACGAAACGTTCGTTTATACAAAACTGATATTGCTTTCATGTATCGCATAAGTGAAAACAAAAACGACCAATTGTCTTTCAATTTTACAATGATTATGATCTCAGCGCCAACAGGCTCTGGTTAACGTGTGCGGCCTTATTGCGCGCACAAGTGAAGGTCTTTAACGGGCAGGACGAGGACCTTCTCCAGGGAAACGGCTTTGATCTTGAGGTATCGGTTGCGAGCAAAACAACCAAAAGCAGTGGACGATGAACATGGAGAGGAGAGTATGTGGGGCGCGGCTCATGGTCAGACGGTCAATGAACCTTACGTCGTATCGCCTCGACCGATCTCGGCTTCTATCGCCAAGCTGGTCGGGCGAGGTCGGACAACTTCGTCCGTGGTTCGACTAAGGTCGTCTTTGACCGCCTCTGCCGAGCGTCCTGTGCACTTAGGATCGCAGCTTGGGAAAACTTTGGTTAATTTTCGATCACTCCAAGTAGGAAAAGAGGCAAAATGCTTTTGTCGAAAGGATCAATATCATTTTTATACATCTTCGTTTGTTACGATCAGTAGCTGGGGCTACTTGACGAAGAAAATAATCTCATTCAATTTCCACATTTTCATTGGCCTTGATTTTTTGTCATTGCTATAATACAGTTAACTGGCATATGGGCAGCGTTCGCCTGTATAAATAATGAATTCTCTCATAACGAGAGTAAACGTATTTATAAGAAGTTTCTCGATCAGAGAACAAAAGAGCTACAAGCAGATTAGAATTCTTGGCAATGGCAGTGTGCGTTGTGAGGTAACCGCGTAAATATGCAAGTTGTTGAACATCAAGAAAGGAAAGAAAACAGCGCGAAGCTGTTTCCATAATATCGCGCATGCGAAAATCAGATTTCAACGGTCTCTTTCCATCGTGAAATTTTTCAATACCGAGATGTCACGAAAAGATACGAGACTGCCCCCAGTGGCCAAAACGGAAGCTAAATATACGGCCGAACGGCTGCACGACGCATTGGTATGTCTAGAGTGGCGTTACTTTAAGGTTGCACGACCGAAGGTCGTCGCCTGAAACACGCTTCGACATTGAAAATGTTCTTTGGTGCATTAAACCGGTATTCGATCTCGTTTCCTTTTAAATTTATATTACCTTCGATGAAAGACGCGCGAACGAAGGCTTCGCCGAAGGTAACCGTTGTACTAGACAAATTACCGAAATAACGATCGAAATCACTCTGTGCAATCTAAATTTATCTGCTCGAAATTTAATTTTAAATATCTGTCGAACGTCTCGATCGGATTCAACGAACGAAACTGTTTTCGTGTAAATATTTTTGTAATGACCTCGGTGCGCGATGGCGGGCAGTGAATTTACCGATATCGTTGATTTTGTAATGCGTTTCGTTCTCGCGACGATCGAATTAGTTTCCGTATTGTTAATAATCTCTTTGGCGGCTCGTGGATAAAAATTCGTGACGCAGTGCACGTTCTACGAAGATAACGTGTTTCGCGATTTAAAGAACCCTGGAATTCTGTGATCACGACACCGGAAGTGCCAGATTCCATGGAAACAGTTATAGCAATTTTGCGATTTTTAAATAAAGACACGGTGTGTATGAATCTCGGTATTTCATGATTACAGTATCTACAAATATAGTGTTTTAAACTGGCACAGAACCATTACGAGAATACTATTTTATAAATAATTATATTTGAACTACTTTCTAATGACTAAGCGTGTATGTACAACATAAAACCGCAGTAGCGAAATATGTATTACAAATCGCTGATTTAATTGAAATATCAAATATGAGAACGATGTTTTGAGATTATTGCAGAAGTAATAACCTACTAAAATAAACATAATATAAAAGTAAATTAGAAATAGGTGTGCACTTTATAACTTAATGAATGCAAGTAACGGTCGAAGATAACTTAAAAACTTGATTTTCGTACTTCGTATCGTTTTTATTATATTTTTCCAGCTGACACCGAAACAACCCCTAGCTAGCAATTAATCGATCAACCAGGGGTCGTTAGAGAACGAGTTGAGAACCCCCGTACGAAACAATGATCACGAAACCTTTGTCTTAATGAGATATGTACTTCCTCTAACCTCAAAAAAAGATCAAATATTGAAAAATATATAATAAATCGGCCAATTTGTATAGGTAATTAGAACTTTCAGAAGCTTTTACATGATGGGACGTAAGTTGAAACTCGTGTCGACGATAAACAAAGAGATAGCATTGAAATAACGTAAAGCCAGCCGCCTATCATTCCCCGAACAGCTTCGAACACTCCATTACAGTTTCCTCGTGACACGTCACTGATGCGCGGTGACGATGCTCTCTACGAGTTGGGACAAGACTGCCAACTTTTGAAGGCCGATAACGTTCAAGATTAGTGGAGATTACAGAAATAAGAAAGCAAAAAGGCCATCACCTCGGATCAACGTGTTCATTGTATAGTCGAATAATACGCACATAATATTTTAAAAGGATAATTCAAACAACAGTACCTACTGTAATGCTATGAACAACCACCGTGAAGAAAGTAACAACTGAATTTATAACATACAATGTTTGTTATTACAGAAAATTAATTTAATGTATTTGTTTTATAGCTCTCACACTATTACACTATTTCCATTCTTTTTATAACTGGTCGAAACGTTCAATAAACACAATAAACTATTTGCTTGTGTAGGTATGAATTACTTGGATCAATTATTTGACTAATTTTCTACGTTCTGAATATCGTTCGATGTTCAAGATGTCACTCGAACAAGAAGCTCATTGTCATGCAACTAACGTTCTCTGTATCAATGCACACGGATCGCCTTTGCATTTGTTCGATGCATTCACGCAAGGCAGATATATGCACGTATACGTGGAATTCACCTATGATTCCTAGTGAACTAGACTATTTTAACGTGTCACAGTTACGTAGCAAGGTGCAAACCAGCCCCCAACAAAGTGGACAGCTGAAAGGAAATCAGTACGTCTATTCATAGCCCGATAAGCGTTCAAGTCTGTCCTGTAACAAAGAGGCCGCATACGGCCGTCACACGTTCAACGTAGGACAGTCATATGGCCAAGCATTTAAAGGCGTACGAAGCAAATGCGCTCACCGACGATAGCTGCGCGAGCGTGTAAACTAAAGTATTAAACGTTTCGAGGTTGTAATTATTAGAACTTCAGGGGCCGTTGATAACGTTATTACCGAACTAGGCTGACAAACTTCTTCCTTTATTTTTCACATAATCGAGGGAACACATTCTTCCACGCGAAATTGAACTCGTTCATGGAAAACATAAACTGTTCCTTGGTTTGTCCACGCGTCTCGAAAACGTTTCTTTTTTTCTATTTTCTAATTTATATTTGTCGCATAAAATAAATGGAAGAAAGATATCTATGCGAAACACACGCGGTGCTATGTTCTTTTGTTTCTAACTAAGCAGAAATTCGAAGCTCGCTCACGGTTCCATGTATTTTCGCTTCGTCGAGACGATAATGCAAGGCAGAGGAATTCCCTAGATTCAATTTTGGCTCAACGACAATGCATCGAATTTTGATTTAGAAATGTACGAAGTACAGTATCAAAGAGGCCGACAGTCTATCGCGTTACTAGTTCTAGGAATTCGAAATCGATTTCTAATAATCGCGTTAAGCGTACGAAAATTCTATCGAGACGTCAGACACATGACAGTACACGCCTGGCTTGGTCTTCACGCTTACGCTTATGCGTGTGCGTGCGTGCACATCGATCGACGGAAAACGAGAACGTGTATGCGTGCCGTGTGCATACGTGTGTTTACAAGACGAAGTCTGTCGAACGTCCGTGGCAAAATAAATGCCAGCGAACGACGGGAAATTCGTCGAATCGAACGAGACTGTTTCAGAACGGTACAAATATAGAAAGGGGAGAAAAGCGAAAGAGAAATTTTTGATATTCGAGAGCATGTAAAAAAAAAAAAGGTTTACGAACATTCGTCGAAAATGGTAAAGCAACGTTTGACGTGAAGCAATACGCGCGGCGACGTCTGGAATAAACGAGCTTCGACTTTTATGCCCGTGTTCAGAGAAAAAGAGATGCAAATTCGACGCGAAAAAAGGAACGCACTAATTTCAGAATCGTTCGAAAGGAAAGCACTCTAGGCGCGACGCGACACGAGGGTTACCCGTAAACGTCGAAAGTCGTTTTTGCGCACGGGGCCAGTAGACAAAGCGTTTCTCGTTAAAGGTATCGATACGCTCGAAGTGAATGATAAGCATGCAAGAAGCCATAAAGAATCCACCTACTTCGAAAGCCACACCGATTAAAATGTCAAAAGTGGGAGTTGCGTAGGTGCTGGCAAACAACGCACCATTACCACTCGCGCATATCTCTTCTTCTTTTTTTCTATTTAATATCGAAACGAGAATAACTCGACCGGGCGAAACAATAGTAGTTTAAATTCGAGAGAAGCTGTGAATTAGCGACGAGTAACCGACGAACGGAAGATGCGTTCGGAACCGACATAACGTACGGGCCTATGTCGAGCAGCATTGACTGCTTTGAAGCAACCCTCGAGAAAATTCTGTCACAATTTTACGGCCTTGCGGACGGCTATTTGCCGGAAATAATAAACGCCGCGTGGTAATCGAACGTTACGCTACCCCTTTGCAACAGCCACACAATCGAGAATGTATTATTTTAGCGAATAAAGCGATGAGAAATCACAATAGCGTTTACTTACGGCCGACGGTTGTTGTTTCTGAAGGCTTTCGCAATCTGTCGGTCGTACTCGGGAACTTCCGTGCGGTACGTGTTGTCAAGCCAACGTCCGCCATGCAACTAACCTCTGGTTACGAGGGTAGCTGGCTCGATAATGATTTCAGCTAATTGATGAAAAAAATCCATTATTATTATCCGTTGGTTTTGTTACAGTAAATGTATGAAATGTCGTTAAAATGAATTTATTGTTAAGCTTATTTTTGATCCTAGCGGTAACGATATACAAGACGGGACTTCAGACACATTTACATGAGTTTGCAGAAAATAATTTTGTGTCGATCCGTTGATCGTTTCGGAAACTTACACCGATGATAGATGTTGCGAGGAAAATATTAAGCCAGCTCGAGGGATTACTTTTTCCTTACTTGTTCCTCTACGAGATGTAACAAACACCGTTAGATGTTATTTTGAGTCAAGTATTATTGACGGTACTGTAGACACAGCTAGACTATATATTAAATTATTCTGGTATTCTTATTCGATTTGAAATCCTTGAAACGTACGTAACGTCGTAAAATATTTATTATTGAAGGATACGTAGATTTATACTGTAAGTTTAATGGTAAATGTACATTTATGAACTAAGAATCGACGCTTAAAAAATGTTGATTGTCGGTAACATAGATGGCTGCTAATATGCACGGCCGCGAATACAAAGGACTATTGTCACATGGACGTTGGAATAGACCGTTTAGGTAACTGTCAGTTTCTAACATTCGATATATAAAAATAGTTCTCTTGATATTTAAATGTGAATTAACAAAAGTAATTTCTATTTAGGTATTAAGAACACTTGTGATACAGAGAATCAGGTTTGTTGCACGTTCGACTATGTTCGTATTCATTTATCGCGTAATCATTTCCATTAATTTTATCTGTTTCAAATATATGCATTCGCCGTGTACCAGTAGATCCGAATCCTGAGTCGAGCTACATAGAATCGCGTAAAATTTATCGTATTGTTTGTACCGTAACGATGCAACAATTCTTTTCATTTAAATACCGTTTTTATGACATTTACGAAAACGTGCTTTCGACACCTAACTTGTAGGATTCATGAATGTTTGCGTTTATTACAATATCGTTATTGACATGAGATATAACATCGCGTGTATACTTTATGACATGTAGTTGCACCAAGGTATATTTGACTGTATGGACGTACGTTGTAAAAAAACCAGTTACATTCCCCTTGATATTTTTCAATACTATTGTTTTTCAATAACATATCCTTAAAGTATAAATTGAAAATCATACTAATAAAATATTTACACTGGTAATACAATAAATAGTTGACCCATGTGATGTTTTTGCGATGACTAGCAATCTATGTGCATAATTCATGAACAAGTCATTACATCCTTATTGGGTATTCTGTACCTTTGTGTACATTTATTTTCAGAATGGCTCTTAGTTCTCAAACATATGGGTCCACGGATCAAAGGACAGATGTACCTGATGTGGGATTTAGCCCTACTGAACTTTATAGCCTCAGTGAAAATATTACCACTAACATATACACCATTAATACAATTTGGAGGACACTGACGTATGCACACAAAAATATTGGAACCAGTAAAGATAATCAGGATCTAAGGGATCAAGTGTAAGTACTTCAAATAGTAATTCATAATGGTAATATAGATTTTATACGTGTTTTATGTATGTTTATATTTTGGTTAGGCATAGTATCCAATTAAGCACAAGTCAAGTAGTAAGTCAAACAAGCAAAGATATTGCAAGACTGACAGTGCTAATGAAGAGAGGGGATAAGCAACAGAAGTTGCAAATTGACAAACTCACCTCCAATTTTAAAGATACTCTGCAAAGGTATTCAGACATGCAAAAGGTACTTAATATATTGTTTGTTGGTATACAGTAGTGCCCGCTTAAGTGTCTATGCTCGGAGATAGGGAAGAGAATAAGTGCGAGTGAGATGCAATAGCTGGCAGCCAAAACCATGTGTACAGTGTATCGATGAGAAGCAATGTCAAGTTACACTCGACACGCTCAATGCTCGTAGCCGTGTGGCTTCTAAGAATTGGTGGGATAGCCGTGGACATTTAAGTGGGCAAAAATGCGGTCACTTATGTGGGCACTAATGTACTTGTAATATTATTACAAAATTAAACAATTCCACAATAATGTTTACAGTCAGTTGCTGAAAAAATGAAGAGACATATTTTGTATACAACTAGTGTAGATAATTCTATGAATGCTGACGAAGAGGAACAGGAACGTCTGTTACAAGTTGAGGAAGGTGATCATAAAGCAATACAAAGGTTCGAATTTGAACTTTCTTTTAATTTGAGAGAAGTTATTCAACTCTGATATTAATATGAATTGAGAAACAACAATGTTAACGCATGGAATGCTGACTGGAAGTGATTGTTCTTTATGCCGTGTTTAGGAATCTTGAGTTTCAACAAGGATTACTGTTAGAGAGAGAAGATAGGATAAAACAGGTAGAAGGAAACATTTTGGATGTAAATAAAATAATGCACGAACTTGCAGCATTGGTACATCAACAAGATGAAGCTATTGGTAAGAGAACACTGCTTTCGTTTTATAAAAATATTACAGTTGTGATTTCTTATAATTCCATGATATTGCAGACACTATAGACAACCACATGGAAAACGTACACGGGAATGTCGAGGTGGGTGTACAAGAGTTGATTAAGGGGAGTAGTTATGAACGTAAATATCGACGAAAAGTTTGTATCTTGTTGTTAGTCGTGATTATAGTCGTTGTTATATTAATTATTATTCTAGTCGCTAAATTAAGTTAGCACTTCTAACTGTCGTAGATATAACGAGCAAATGAAAAAGGTTGTCTCAATCTATCATATATTGATTGTAGAAGTAATATCAAGGAAAATATAATTTCACGAGTTTCTACATACGCAATTTGGGGAGAGGATAGACTTATTTTATATTTGTTTGTCAATCGATCGATATGCGGCCCGAGTGTATTATTCACGCTTATTTTTAAACTATTCTCATTGCATATCTTCTATTTCTTTTAAATTTTTATTTTGAAATAATCTGAATTATGAAATTTAGATTAAAACGAAATACAACAATGGTATATAAATGCCTGCGCTATTCATCAAAACAGACTTATAATAGTGGCAAAAATAAATTTTTATTTTCGTTTTGAGATACGATCAGCATAACCTTAAACATTGTACAACAATCACTGATCATTTTTGTTGTATTTGCAAACTAATCTTTTACAGAAAGCTGAATGGATCACTTTGATTGTATTACATATTAATTTCTCAATAAATTGTACAGCATTATAAATGCAACGACCGTTTAAAGAAAATTATGGAGTTTAAATGGAACTGTTAATGTTATTTTATAACTTCAAATTTTATGGCAACGTATATTGTTTGTTGAAAATGCATGTTAAAATTGTGTAATTTTTAGCGATCAGCTACACTATAACCTACGATGTTTATAATTTATAAAATAGTGATTTACAGTTATTAATTTTGAAGAGTAAACTTATTAAATTGTTTATCTTGGGAGATTAAATTTGTTTAATAGTTTTCGTGTAATATTTAATTGCATTCATTTAAGGAAATACAAATGAATGCACGAATTAATTTTTTCGAATATTAGTATATCTCAGGAATATACAGACTAAATAATGTGGCACTAAATTAATCGACGTTAATTAAGTAGTATTATATTGGCAAAACATGTCGAACGGACGGTATTTTGATTTAATTTCTATAATTAAATATTATACATATTTGTTACGTTTTTTGTACTTGTTTTCTACTTGCTCACACATAATACTAATTTTCTATTGCACAAGTTTTCTTCAATCTGTATCAAATAAATAAGTGTAACGTGTATAAACGGTAGATCGATGATTGTATGTCACGTCAATTCGGTAATTTTTTCAGTATTTTAAAGTTTTTTGCATGCTGTTGTTTTAAAATGAAAACTTCGGTTTGTACCAGTTAACGAGGAAAATGGCTGAAGAGCGTTAATCGTTACACGCGTTGCTTGTAATAGCAGTATTGCATATTATTACGTACTATGTTAATTTCTATTTAATTTTCTTTGTAAATTTGTATGATTTGTAAACAAGTTTGCGATCATACATAAGTATTGTTGTTCATTGTTGTCTACTTCAGAAATATTTAAATACGTGTATAAATTAATACTAATACTTGAGGTTATCACACGATTTTTTTACTTTTACCGATAATCATATAAAATGAAGCGTTTTTACTCTTTCATATTGAATTTTTAACGAGAGATATGTAATATTTACGAACAATAGAATAATTTACATTTTTTATTCGTTTAAAGCTTCACTTTCTTGTCTCCATGCAAACACAGCCACTGAGAATATGAATTTTATTATTTACGTTAATGGAATACGGAAGATGCTTACGATAACTTTTTAACGAAATTGTCTTCAAATTTACATTTTTGCTGCAGATTATATATAATTGCAATTCCTATTAGTTTTATGTAACGTTCATTAAAATACGTATATAAAACGAAAAAAACGAAACCTTGATTTCTAAAGCATAATTGAATCATCTGAATATAAGTATGATCTCTATAATCATACTTGCTATGAATTATATCGTTTATTATGAATTGCCTATATATTTGCTGATGCTTGCAACGTTAATAATAAAAACTACACCCACAGATAATTGTGAGATTGAGACAGCCGTTTTCTGAAGATCGATTTGAATCTTATAATGATTATTAGGCATTCCAAAATCTAAAAAGTTCAATGATTACATTATCATTAAGGTTATAACTTGAATATTGTATATACAACTAACCATTGACATTCTAAATAAACCATATTGTAGTACTAACATTATTACGTCGTTAACATACTGTGAATATCAATGGCGACAGTTTTGTTGTAATAATAACGGACTGTACGCCACGAAGTAGTATTAAGCATTATGAATTATGTTTTCTTCTTTTTTCTTTTTGTAATGCGTTGCGTTGTTTATAAAATTTAATTACGAAACATAAGTTCAATTAATTTGAATCAAAGAAATAAAAGAGCAATGTGCTTATAAAGATTTGGCAATCATAGAATGGTGTACACATAATCTAACGTTTCACTTTGCATGAATTATTATCTTTACGTTTTACGTTTATAACGAGTCATCGTTAGTAAACTATTATTGTAATAAAAGTACTGAAAGTCTAGCAACTTTATGCAAGAAGAAGAGTGATAAAAATATAATCGGTTTTATTAAGCTTCGAAAAGTAAAATAATAATCGTTTAATGTTTTTATTATTACAATATTTATAATTTATTGCAATCGCGATGTACAAAGTATATTGTATTATCAATACACGAGAACACTTTAATATTTTGTATTGTCTTCTTTGCATTGTGGATAAACTGTTTGGCCTGTATTATATACAATGTATGTCCACTTGTTCGTATATATTAATAGTTTCCTATTGCAAGAAGTTTAATCCATATAGTGCATATCATGCCACGTATTTTATGATAACTAGTATAAATTTTGTATTTACACAATTACTTAAAAATCTGTGGCGAACATTCATTTTTGAAGATTAAATTTCTTAATTATCATATATGCAGAAGATTCATTTACAACAATAATATATGAACTTGTATAGTTTAACCATTGTATAATGTACATTTATGTACTATACCTTATAATGGAAATAAGTAAAAGAGAAAAGAGTACTATACAACATAAGTAAAACAAATGAGTATTTCGTATATGTAAAAGCATAATTTTTAAGTCCTATTAAAACCACGAATAATTATATCAACAATAATAAACTTGGAATAATTTTACGCGAAGTATACGAAATCGATATTTAAATATCTATATCTGATAGAACAACAGAAAAAATTAAAGATAAATCATCGAATATTCAGTCTTCATTGATTTACGTATCTTTCTTCGTAAATAACGTCACTTAAATGTACGTAAATATATTGACAATTACACTCAATGAAAGCAAAAAATGAAATGATACAGGTTTTGCACTCCAAATTCAACTTCTTGGAAATCAAAGTCACCCTTTGACAAATCAGGTTTTAGTATGAAAATGATGGTAATTTGACCAGGCAATTTGATTTGCAAAACGTTGAATTTGGAATGCAAAATCTGTAGTGAGAATACCCTTACATAGAGTACGATTCCTATTGTATACCTAAGTTTTCATTTTATTTTGTTGTTGAGATCGTCTAGCTTTTATTCTTGCTTGTAAAGTCAGGAGGAGACCTGCAAGAACATCATGATTCGGCAACTTTTTCGCGAACAATAGACGTTTTACCGAGTCGTCATAAGTCAGTAAAGCGACCATATTTTGCAGCAAAAATCCTTGACAGTACTCCAAAAGCTGTGTTGCGTTATAAACCTGAAAAGTATGGTAAGGTTTCAAATGTTATTTTCCGCGATAATTCGATAATACTGACTTCCTCGTTGGAAAAGCGTATGTTTCGTAATACCTTCGCGTGAATGTACATGGAAACAATGTTGTCGAGATCAACCATCGAGGAACACTGTGCTTCGCAATACCTAAGTAAACCATCTAACTGGAAAAAGTTTGCTGCAGCCATTAATTCCAAGACATCACTTTGATTTACTTCCAACGTGGCGCATCCACCATGATACAAAAATTCCATAACCATCTGAAGATCGAAATGAAACTTGATTTTTACGAGGGAGAAACATTTTGCATTGGCATTTTTTCGTATGACCGTTTTAGACGGTCGCGCGAGACACAGCAGTATTTTAAATATTATATACCTGGAAAATGTGGTATCTGATATCATTAATCTGTACAATAGGTGGGTTTCCCTCGCACAATTTCGAACTTAACATATTCCTAAATCTTGGAGATGATGTGACCAACACAATCTTATGGCCGTAAAACACTCTGCCCTCTACTCTAAATTGTACATCGCTCAACTCCGGATTATTTACAAATTTCGGATCTATTCTCGATCCGCTCGATAACGTAGTGTCTCTGATGGGTTTAATCGGTTCCCATCCGAAACACGTACAGAAAATATCAGCAAGCAGAAGCGTTGTGCCCTCCTTCTGTTCAAAAAACGAGAGTAATCAAGAGTAATCGAATTAATGCTTTCAACGATTCACGTACACAGGTTTTGTACTCCAAATTAAACTTTTTTCAAGTCAAATTCATCCTTTTATTTTAAAGTACGTGATCTTATTTTAGAAATACTTGATTTGCGGAAAGTTAAATTTGGGGTGTAAGACCTGTAAACGAATAATTATCGATTTGATAACATAGCCTACCTTGCTATACCTAAAGATATTGAACAATAAAGGAAGACATTCTTGTACAAATTGCGTCGAATAGTCTTCTGGACATACTTGAAGGAAATCTTGAAGTAACTGATCTATCACCGAGTCTAGTCTCATTTCGTGAGCCGTTGCCAGACTGTGCATCCAGCAATGTAACGTCCAGCCTACTTTCAATCCACGGAGTTCCATTGTGATGTCTGTGAAACAAATTCACATGCCAATAAAATTCTATATTTGAAATATTTTGTGTTTTAAAAAATGTTACAAATATCTATTTATCTTACCTAAATGGTTACTTTCGGCGCTGTGGTACATAGCTTCTTGCAAAGCTTTTGTTTGCACCTTGTTAAAAACTGGCTCTTTACCTTCTCTTCGATTTCCTCTTCCATCTACGGTTTGTTGCTGCGGACTAGTACCCGCACTTCCTTCCGCGAGGATCTCTTCCAACGATAATACTTCTTTTTCCCCTCGTTTCGCAGAAAAGTTCAGCGGGTGTGACAGTAATTGGTGAAGGCAACTTCTTTGTCCATGAGCTGTCGCTACAGATATTGCACTGTGTGCGAAACAGGCGAATTACTTACAAGTATCTTTGTCCAAGTTGCAATAAGCAATAGCGATATCGACCTCTTCATTGAGTCACGGGTGTATTATTGTATTACTTTCAGGACGAATCTCGTATAAATGTATACTACTTGCCTGTAACAGCCGCGTTGAGCGGATCCGGAATAGGAAAAAGAGTCTTTTATCAAAGTCGATAGAAACGGTTGAGCTCCGTGAGCCAGCAACAGTGCCACCATTTCGTTGTTGCCAGACGCTGTTGCTGCTTGCAAAGGCGTGACCGTACATTTGTCTTCGCTGAGCTTGGCACCACCTTCGACCGCGGCCCCTCTTTCTAACAATATTCTGGCGATGTTACAGTGCCCCAACAGGGCCGTGTAAGTTAAAGCGGTCCAATGCTGAGTCTCGGCGTTGAATCCACTCTGATTGTAACACGCGTTGCTGGAAGCGTTACTCGATGCGCCTGGCGAGCCAGAAGACGAATTCGACGTTTGCACGTTCTTTCCCGGGGACATAATAGCGGATTGATTGGTTGAACTTCTGGCACTGGACACACCCGGTGGTGCTAGAGGAACCTTGGATGGCGTGTTCGCTGATTGACCGGTCGGTGGTGCTGGACTTTCAATGTTCAAATCAGCGCCAGAATCCAGAAGGGCCAACACCGCCGTTTCATCACCGTTTATGCAAGCTATCATCAGCGCCGTAAAACCATTGTCGTTCACCGTATTGATCTTCGTGGATGGTAATAGGGGCATAGCTTGAGCGATCAAGTCCGCGCGTCCACCGATCAGCATTTTGAAGGCCATGTCCATCGTGAGCAGACGTACGTACTCGGAATCGTCTATGCGTTTCGAGCACACGGCAACTTCCTCGAAGCTGCGAGGGAAACATCATTTTTGTAAATGTAGCGCGTCGTACGAGAATGGTAAGAGAAAACGCAGACCCAGCCAGACTTAACTAATATTTAAGAAGGTCGTGTATTACCATATCGGTCTAATGGGACAGTCTACGCCGGGCAACAACAATCTAGCGGCTTGATTAATATCATCTTGATCTACAACGAGTCCGTGCCTGTGTTCCGCATGAGCAGTCGCGACACGCAGCCATTCCACCAACGGCGGAAGAACAACGTACGCTCGCTCGTATGCGAGTTCCTGTATCCCGGAACCACGTTCGCCGTGCTCCAACTGTGGAAATATTATTACGTTAGATTGTGACGAGATCAACTGTAACGAGGTGGTCGTGAAAGTAGGATGGTAATTGTTTACAAAGATTATTCTCCGATTTAAACGGTTAAAGAATACAGCAACGGCTACAGTTGGGTAAAAGTGGCCGGTTAAAGGTAAACGATTACCGACAAAAGTGAGCAAATGATCAAACCTGTGAACACCTCATATAATAAAACAAGGCGTTCAACGCCTTGGCGGTCAGAGGTATGGGCGAACGTCCCGCTTGGGCTACTTTCGAGATTAGATCTAAGAGTTCCGACATAGATCCCACGCATGTAGTCAGCAACGATGGTTCCAACGCAGATCCTGCTGCGTCCCTTCCACTACGGGACGACGACGACGAGTTTAAGGAACTTACGCTGGCCCAACGTGGCATTGCGAGGGCACCTAAAAGTATTTTCAATTTGTTGTTCGCAATACTGATCATATATCATGGAACATTCTATATACGTCGAAAAAATTCTTTTCGTAAAAAATCATAAGGAGTTACTGTAACGTAACGAATGTATGTATCGTTGAGTAATTCTTATAGTTATACCTGACGCTGTTCGGCCAGCATTAAGGTGTGCATATGGCTGTAAGAGTCCCCATAAATCTCCACTGTTTGCTATGGCATGCTCCAACATAGTTGCCGTTAGGGTTGTGTGCGTATCGGTCGGTACGCATTGTAACAGTATTTCTTCCAGAAGATTTTCAATTCCCGCGGTCAAATATATGGCCGCGTACTCGTGTATCATTCTTCCTAATCGCACATCGGACATCCAACGAAGAAATCGTCCAACTGGTAATTGCAGTCCCGATCGAGATGCCTTTGATTGCTTCAGTTGGTCACCGGATACGGCGAACATTGCGGCGGCACGTAAGCAGGCCTGAAAAAAGAAGTAATTTTATGGGTATAAGCACCGGTTCTACAAGCAATATAGAGATAGGTATTAAAAGATCGAATCCACGGCTGCCAGAATGAGGTGAACAGGATCTACTTTCTTTCGAGAGTTCCATGTGGTCATCTTAACGTTATTGCTTATTTTCATCTGCTTCATTAATGAATTTGCCAAGAACCTGACCGACAACGTTTCACGCTAATTCTACAACTTACATTTTTGCACAGAGTTAATTTAGCAGCAACTGTACAGGCAATTTGCATTATATTTGCATTTTATCTTATCACGACCGGTTTTTTTTTAAAAAAACGTAAAAAAAAGTGCAAAAATTATTTTGGTTCGTGATTATTCACGATACAAGAGTCCTGCAAGTTTTTTTTCGTTTTAAATAGATTTTGTATGAACAGAACTTGTACCCTGTATCATCCACGTACCTTGGTGCAAGAATCGGCCAAGGCTGGACAGAGCACGATTTTAAACGCGCTGTAAACCTCGTGCTTGCTGCACAGACCAACAGGCTTGGCCAGTCTCTGGGTTTCACGACCGATCCTGACCAAGGCCCTCTGCAATAGATAAGAGAGCCGCGGTATAGTCTCCATAGAGACTTGTTCCATGTGCTCCCTCGTACGACCGTTCTGCAACACGCGAAGAACGTCGTGGTGCGTCCATGGCAGTTGCTGCAGCTCCACCAGTCTATTGTGGGAGTCCACCCAGACGAATTCGTCCGCGCTGGTCACGTTGGTGTTGATGGTTTCCAAGCTGGAATGCCGCATCAGTCTCCTTACAGCAGGCTCCGAGCTCTCGGAGCCGCTCAAGGAGGAGTAAGTGGACGATGACTTATGGGAACGCATCGTGAGCTGTTGGATCGCCAGTTTGATGTCTTCTAAACCGGATCCCGACCACGGCACCTGCAACTACGACGAATGGTTTGCATTAAAACGTGGCTAACGATTATTAACGGACGCGTCGACCTTCGTTCGATCAGGACCTCAGGGAAAATTCGACTTTATTTGAATAAGTTTTATTTTAAATATAATGTGAATTTATTAGTTTTCTAACGTATCGAGATCGCGGATATTCTCGATTAGTAAAAGCGGAGTTAAAAATGCGTGTTCGAGGGGGACACCTTGGCGGGTGTGGCCCTGTGTCTGTTGCGGTTCTGTCCAGATCTACTCCTGCCATTTCTCTGGGTAACGGAGGCCGATAGGCGATCGTCCTCGGGCACAGAATTCAGCTGCTGAGGGCTGTGCGACCTGTGGTGACGATGCGGCGGTGAACTGCTACTCGTGTGGCCGCCTGTGTCCGACATGCTCGCGTGTCCGGACGAACGATTCTCATCCGACGAGCTGTTACCCGTGCATTCTGGTCGCCTCTGGAAAAGTCATCGACGCATTACACCCAGGGTTTTACACCGCAATGGGAAATCCCACGTTCCTACCTTCTCCTCTTAACGTGGCAACCAGGCGGACAAAACGTAATTTAATTAACGATCGTAATCAGAGAATGTATTATAGTTCTGAGTTACAGGATACATCGGATACCTGAAGCGCGCGAATCTCGTGCAAACTGAGGTGATGATGCTGAGAGTGATGAGGATGCTGAGGCGTTGGCGTCGGAGCCACGCTGTCCGTGTCTCTTTCCGCCACCATGTGAACCATATTGTGAACACCGTTTTTAGGCGAACTCTCCGCAAAGTCCTTCGAGTACGGAGGACAATACAGATCTCGTCCGTTGCCGCCTCCGGGCCTGCAAAAGAGAACCAACATTCCACATTACACGATTAGAACTTAAATAACTTGCGTGTATTATTTGTTACAGAGAAAAATGTTTCGGACTAAAGTTGCATGGCATCGAGGAGGATGATATACAGTGGCGTGCAAAAGTTCTTTCAAAACAAAAGCGTTGAGAAATTTTTATTACTATCATATATAAGGGCATATTACGTGAAAGAGTACTACAAAACAAATCGGCGCTATTTATTTTTCTTATGTGTTTATTTGCAGAATAAGTAAATTAACGCGTTCAAAAGTTCCCGGCCAGTGTGTTTAATAAAAAAAACAATTTAGCGATACATTATTTAACATATTATGACTAATATTTCGTAGCCATACCTTTTGCAGCAATAACAGCAGCACAGCGACGAGGCATGGATTCAATTAACCGAGTAATGTAGTCGTGTGCTATTTTGTTCCACTCTTCTATTAAATTTTGAAAAAATTGTTTCTTATTAGAACTTCTATGATTTTTCATTCGACGTTTCATCTCTCCCCAAAGATGCTCAATTGGATTTAAGTCGGCAGATTGAGAAAGCCAGTCTAAAACTTGTACTTTATTTGTAGACAACTTTTACGATTTCAGATGCATGTTTGGGGTCGTTATCACGCTGAAAGATCCAATTTTCAGGCATTTTTCTTTCAGTATATGGTAGCATATGAGTTTCTAAAATCTGTCTATACATGACACCGTTCATAATACCCTCAATTTTTGTAAGAGGACCAAGTCCTTGAACAGAGAAAGCTCCCCATACTATAATGTTTCCTCCGCCATGTTTAACAGTTGGTGTTTGGTACCTGGAATCATTTCTTGTGCCAACTGGACGTCGTACATATTGTCTTCCATCGCTGCCGCATAGATTAAATTTAGATTCATCCGAAAAAAGAACAGCTTTCCAATTTTCAACAGTCCAGTTACAATACTTTTCAGCAAACTTTGATCGGGCTACTTTATTTTTCTTATTGATTAGTGGTTTTTTTTAACACTAACTCTGCCAAATAGTCCTACATCATGTAGTCGCCTGGATACCGTACATCGACTAATATTAGCAACATTTTCCTCTTGTAGTTCTGCTGCAATATCGCTAGCTGTCTTCTTTGAGTCCGCAACTGATTTACGTTTTATGATCCTATCAATTCTTTTGGTGGTCTTTCGGGGCCTTCCACTTCGCGGTCGATCTTTTACGCCATTCCCTGCAGGATATCTGTTGATTATATCGTTCGCTGTACTTTTCCCGATAGACAATGTTGCAGCAATTTCGCGAGACGACTTTCCTTTTAATGACAACTCTATCACAATTTTAGTAATTTTACGTACTTCGACAGATGTGTTCGAACCATGTTTACGTTTCAGCGACTGATTGTCAACCGATGTAATAATACTACACAATATTATTTGAATGTAACCACTTACTGTAGTCTGTACATAAATCGAAACTGGCGGTGAACTTTTGAACACGTTAATTTACTTATTCTGCAAACAAACACCTAAGAAAAATAAATAGCGCCGATTTGTTTTGTAGTATCCTTTCGCGTAATATGCCCTTATATATGATAGTAATAAAAATTTCTTAACGCTTTTCTTTTGGAAGAAAAATTGCAAAAACCATCTGGCCGGGAACTTCTGCACGCCACTGTATGTACATATAGCAAGTTTAATAATTTCCACTGAAAAAAAAAATTCCTACCATTTTTGGTCGAATTCGTATTTAATGAGATGCATGATTCTGGTTCTCAGAAATTAAGTGGGTGATGTTAGGTAAGTGCAGCATGGGAAGTAGTACTCTCAATTGCACTTCCACGTTTAGCCCGTTTCTATGTTCAGACTTTGATACATCCAGCGAATAAAAGGCCCGTTCGCACGAATATGTGGTGCAAAACGACACAAACAATTATAAAGCCTTAATAACGGCGTCGTTCTTTTCTGTTTTAAAACCGGTGATTTATGCTGATGCCATTCCCGACCTCGCAACACCATTTATGCGCGCGAAATGTTACGTCTTTTGCGAAGAGAGAACTCGGGTTCGTCGACCGAAATGTTGGGCGAACGATACTTGATATCCCGTCGGATAGGCTTCGCGTTAATTGCTCGCCAAATAATTCCACCGACTAGCTTTCGATTCCTTTTATTTTTTTTTTTTGATCGTGCCTCGAGAAAGCGAGCACATAATAAGAAATTCGTTCCCAAGACTCCGTATTCCGTTAGAACGGCGTCTGGAGGAAAGTTACGCGAGGACTTGCGATCATCGTTGAGCAACGAACATTTTAGTTCTTTTAATTCGTGCGTATATTTTGGATTTAAAAGTTCCGAAGAGTTGTTTAAAAAAAAAGAACCACTGATTCTGCAATCACAATCTATCGCATCTTTTCATCGTGATACATTTCAGGTCGATGTCTCGACGAGAGTGTTAAGTGTCGATGTTGTGATACCGCGTGTTCGAAATGATAATGATAAGCTGTTCTATACAGGGTGTCTCAGCATCGGTAGTACAAGCGGGAAGGAGGTGTACATGAAAAAACAAATCGAAAATAAAAAATAAAATTTTTTCGTTTGAGGTTTCGATGTCAAGAAAATCAAGTATGAATATTTGTAGGATTTAAATGAAAATAAGGCATGTAATTAATTTATTAAACTAACTTAATTAACACAATAATTGTTGGAAATCGCTCATTGTACTTTCTGAATTATATTTGTATGAACATACATTCTAATGTATTCTGTCTTTAATTATTCAAATACCAAATGATTCTCACTTTTAATTGAGGGAGGCTTAAAATATTCCTCTTACACACTTTTGTTTTAACATGACACCATAGATAAAAATCAAGAAGTAACAAATCTGGAGAGCATGATTAGTCAAAACCAAAGATAACAACATACTAACAATAGGACAGCAAATAAAATTGTGATACATGCTCAGGAGGTTTTATCAACACGAGTGTATAGAAGTGCAGAAAACACAATAAAAGTCTGTATTGAGATCTATCCGACATAGGAAAATGTACACTTGCTCGGTGAATATTCAAGATCAATTTTTTCAACAACAAAGCCTCAAATGAACAAATTTTATTCTTCAATTTTGATTTGTTTTTTTTATACAGAATAACCCCCTTCTTGGTTGTACCACTGATGCTGGGACACCCTGTATAATCGAAAAACGACTCGAATCTAAACTGATTGAAAGGGGTAAGAGTGGAGGATTTATGTAGAAGTGACATTTTAATTGTTTACGATAGAATGATTACTTTAAATTGTAACACTTATATCTATAGTGTTCATAGAGGTCTAATTAAAACATTAATATTTCAGGAAAAAATTCTATTCCCGTTCGAGCGATCGCCCTTTCAATTTCAATGAAACATTCACTTGCAGGAACGTTGTATGCATTCTCGAGAAATTAATTCAGAAACTCGGCCCTCATTAATCATACATACCTTTCCTTGGAAACTCGATTTCTATTGTATCGTGTACGGTTCTGTGTTCTCCACTGTTCTGAAAAATCCCTTTACCGTATCATTGCTCAACCCGTTAGATACTATTAATGAAAGAATCACATTCGTGGAGATTTTGAGGTCACATAAATCCGTATGGCCGTGGACGGGGAGAAATATTGTCGATTATTAATAAGATCTATTGCCTGTTGTGGAATATGCAGCCCGGCCCGAGGGGGTTAAGTACGGGTTATGGTTACATAACACGTCGGATTGCACGCGAACGCGTTTCCAGAGTGCAAATTAACAGTAGGCGTACGAAACGTAAATGAGATTCACGTGAACGATAATGCAACGAGAGGCGGGATACGCGATCGTGATCCACGTGTGGTGCCGTGGATCTTGATCGCAGTCTTCTTTTGTTCTCAAACGGATTTGGGCCCAGTGGACCCGTTCGCGGGTTTCGAATTCTTTCTGGAAACGAAACGATCGACGGGAGGGAAATAAATTCGGATCCGTGGAAAGTATCGCGTTCCGAAAATCCACGCTCGCTGACGGGGCCCCAACTTGTAATTAATTGCAGGGGCCCGGTTTCCTCTACGTTACACGCAGACTCTTCACAAGAGGTTCCAACTGGGGCTAGGAATATTCCAATAGCTTACGCTTAATAATGAGAAAATTCCTGCTTCGTTCTATGTTGTCTCAGTTATACGATTTGACAGTGATCTATAGAGTCTTTTAACCCGTTACCTTACAATGACGAGTCTAATTCGTTACAAGTTCTTGATGTCAAGTTTCACGATCATGAGGCTACTCACTCGTCATCGAGTCTTATACAGGGTGTACGGCCACCACCGGAAAAAAAATTTTAACGAGCGATTCTACAGACCAAAATAAGACGAAAATCAAGAATACCAATTTGTTGATTGAGGCCTCGTTAAAAAGTTATTAACAAAATTATTAATTAAATTTGTCCACCTACACGAATTTTTTTCTCACAAGTGCGTAGGATTTCGGAGGTATGTCTATTTACCAAAATTAATTGCAATTGACCCCTGTAACCAAAAATAATTTTTTCCGAACGATTTGAAATTTTTTAATTTCGCCGAAAAATTACTACACCTACTCGTACTTTTTTCTCGAAAGTGCGTACGATTTCGGGGGTATGTCTGTTCACCAAAAATGATTGCAATTGACCCCCGCAATTGAAAATAATTTTTTCAGAACGATTTGAAATTTTTTAAGTTCGCCGAAAAATTTCTGCACCTACTCGTATTTTTTTCTAGAAAATGCGCAAGATTTCGGGGGTATGTCTGTTCACCAAAAATGATTGCAATTGACCCCCGCAATTGAAAATAATTTTTTCAGAACGATTTGAAATTTTTTTTTTCAGTCGAAAATATTTCTGGCCGGTATGGAACTTTAAACGTTAATAAGTTTCGAAGGAAGCCTCAATCAAAAAATCGGTGATCTTGATTTTCGTTTTATTTTTACCCATAGAACCTCCTATTCAAATTTTTTCGAGAGGTGGCCAAACACCCTGTATACAAAGATCAACAGATTTTTACGTTCGCGTGGTATTCGTAAAACAAATCTGTTTTTTTCGTGACCATTTCTTGTACGAACAAATTTAAATGAAATTAAATAATTAATCGAAATACCTTGATTAACTAACGTTACTCCAAAAATCGATTTTTACAGAGAAATTCAGAAACTCTACGCAGAGATTCGGAAACGGAGAACGTGGAAGGCTGAAGAGGGAGAAAATCGTCCCCGTAGCGGCTCCGTCGGGGCGCAAAGGGTCAACAGACGAGAGAAAAGGTATTGTTCGAATACAAAAGTCGAAGAAAAGCCCCGGTCTCGTCCGGTCACGGCAGCCATCAGCGCGGTAACGCTCATTTCTCATCGACACGGTGAAACGCAACAACAAACGCGATCGTGATTTACCCCCTTAGGCGCCATTGCTGAACGAAGCTCCAGTCCGCCTTGAACCCGCTGCTGTCCCCCGGCAAGGACCAGTAATCCTCGACCTGGCTCTCGTCCTCCTCGATCCTCAGCACGTCTTCCCTGCTGGGACTGACGTTCACCACGATCTCGTGCGTAACCTTGGCATCCTCGTTCTCCATCAGACTGACCGTCGACCGTTGTCTCTCCGTCTGGGACTTACCCGAGGACCTCGTGTCCTCAGGATCCGCCCCTCGTCGCTGCTCGGACATCCTGGACTCGTCTTTCGCCGCGAGCCGCGTAGGACTGTCCCTCGACTTGTTCTCCCGCTGCCTCTGGTTCGTGTCGCCAAAGTAAATCACAGTCCTGTGAGCGACGTCTCTGTTCCCGGCTGCGGTCGTCGTCGTCCTTTCCGTTTCCTGTCCGTGTCCCTTGTCCTCCAGCGTCTCCTCGAGGCCAGCGAGCCTAGGATCCTCCGTTTCCTGCCACTCCTTCGACTGGATCCTCGTCGCCAACGGCAAACCGCGGCGCAGGATGAAGTTCACGCCCTCGCGGCGAGCTCGCGAGCCCTCCAGGTTCGCGGACATCCTAAAGCCCGTCAGCTCACGGCACAGCACGCAGACGCAATCCTCGTCGACGCATGAGCCGCGCTCGATCGACGGCATATCACTCGTCGACGGACATTTTCGTCAACCGATTTTTCCTGGAGGGGGCACGACGCGGACGGTTGCACAACGGTCACCGGAAACGGAGTCAGAGCCTTTCGGGGAACCAGATTACGACGTTCGACTCTTTCCTCGATGGTTCAAGGAAAGATGGTTCCGGGTAATCGGATGGATCGGCGGATGGGATCTTCCTCAGACAGAGATCGATAGTTTAAACGCACTCCGATCGATGCTTATTCGAACTAGAAAATGTTCACTGCACGGTCCGGGCACACTCCAGGTTCACTCGAATTTGGAAACTTGTATTCGTGGTATATCGAATTAGAAACCATAACGAAATATTTAGATCGATTCGCGTTACGATAAGCCTGCGCGGTTTTAATCCTCCCGGGGAATGGTAATTGAGTATTTAATGGATTTCTTTATTACTTCGATCTATTTTTCAACGGTGCTGGAGAATGTGCTTACCGTTACGAAACTTGCAAACGTTACGTTCGAATTTTGTTCGAGCATTACGAGCGATACAAGTGCAATTAACAAAACTTTAACGATAAGTAGAAACGCCTGTATCCTACTGTTTTCTTTGGTCGTGTCACTTTCGTATCCTGCGCGCAATATTATGTGAGTTATCTAACGTGTTGCGTGTAGCATGTGTCGTGGGTATCTGGTGTGAGACGCGGCGTTCATTTGTTATGTGATACGCGATGCGTACTGTGTGACATATCGTTCGATACGTGCTAGTTTGTCTAGTCTCACTCCCGCGCGGACATGAGTTACAGTTCTGGGACGCGATTTTCGAGATCTCGGCGCGTCTTCGGCCGCACGACTGAAACCGTTCGTTCGAGGATGATCCGTGGATCGGCAGGTGAAACGCCGTGCACTTCCTCCGACGAAGGCGAACAGGAGATGGCTCTCCGGTATCACTTTCCTTTCGTTGGTTCTTTTCACCGAGCGTAGTACGTCGTCGACGCGCACGTAACCCTGTATCGCGATAGCGGGCACCGCGACGCTTATCGCGAGAGTAAACGCGACGTATCGCGTGAGAATGCTCTTCCCTCGGCAGTCACGGTTAGAGGCGAATGTCACCGCGCGCGTCTTCCGACAGATAAGGTGCACAGTGGGCAAAAACCGACACGCGCGTATCGTGAATTAAATTTTCGCGTGCGTGCAATCGAGTTATCGTCGCGACACAGTGCCACTAGCCTTAAACAAATTCATAGGCGGAGTTCTGGATACATTCAAAGTGCCCCACCCTGCGTAAACAGTATTTGACGGTTTTCGTAAACAAGATGCGCCAGCTTTTCGCCGAAACGATTTCACATTTTTCACAATCTCGATCGCTTTTCCACGCGTTAGAAACTTCGTTGGCGGAGCGTCGACGCGATATATACAAAATGCCCGCGATATGTACAATTTATTCGCTCGAGTTCCAAAGATAGAACGCACGCCAGACCAATTACGCGCTCGCGGAGGCGAGTTCGCGCGACTTTCACCGTTCCGGTCCGCGTAAAATTGATTCCAAAAGCGGTATACCCGGCGTTGCATCGAACCGCCCAGCCGCGTTCTTCCGAAATCGCGAAAGCCGCGGCGATTCGATGGACGAGGGGGAGGGGAGGCGTTATCGTTTCACTTCACTCGAAAGAAGAAAAGAACCGATCTCGGAACCGCGAACGGCATAGCGAACACCGACGACGATAAAAGGACGCGGCGAGGAGTTGCTAGCGCGGACGTCGGGATAGAACTTCCGTGCGTTCCACTTTAATCCGCGAACGCGTATCACACGCTACGGGTCTCCTGTCCCTCATGCCGCGGTTAAGTGGTGGCTGCCACTCCGTAAACTGTTATCCTTCTTTTCACCGCGTACCGCCAGGAAACGGGAGAGTGCAAACGAATGTGTGCCTTTGGTAACCCCACCCCGCGGTCGTTTATTCGGCGGAGGACTTCCGGCGACCATCCTACTTCCTACGGCCGTCTGCTGGAGTCACGGAGCCCTGACCGCGGTTCCGTGACGATTCCCGGACCCCACCGTCGAGGATATTATTTAATCCTTGCCTAGCGGGCGTAGGATCGCTTCCAGTTTATATATTTACATTGCACAATTGTTCGAAATCGGCGCGTATTAGGCACAGAGGGGTACCCGTTGCTGGTTTCATCACCACCGGACATCGTTCTCGATCCTCTCGACTGAGAGACTTCCCTTTCTATGCAAACCGCTCGCTGTTGGCTCTTTTATCGCGATCTAAGGGCGTGAACCGCTCAAAGGATTGGGAAACGCACGCACCGAGACGGTTAACAGTTAACATTTTTATACGTCGGGCCTGTAGCAGAGGTTGGCAACCTTCTCGTCACGGCCTCGCTTACCAACAACGTACATACTTATATTAAAACTCGTTTGTCTCGATCGATAACGTTCTTTTTTCTACGCGTTGCTAGAAACATTCGTTTTTTATAACTATACAACTGGGCGATATTCAGCCGTGAGCCGTTGTGCAAAGAAACGTACACCTCTTAACGAGTCTGTCGTGAGCGTAAAATGAAGGAAACGGCTCTTACAGGGGAGAAAAGAGCGAAAGAAAGCAACCCGTGTCACCGTTTTCCGGTGCACCTTCACAAAGGCGAGGAAGATTCTCAGGAGTTTTCTAACCGTAATTAACGTCGAAGGTGCAGGGTGCACAATGCGGAAGGCAGACAATTAACTAGGCCAGAACCGTTCTGAGGCTGCCATTAAAAAAAGACGACTGTTCCCTCTGTTAAAACGTACGGGCGATAAATTCACCGGCGATACAAATGATACCAGCGAGTGTACTAATTGATCACGAATCGCGTTGTTTTCATTGAAACGCGCCGTATGATAAATTCGCGTGAAAGTCATAGATAATTTGGTTCCCCTAGACAAACCGGTCTTCGACCATTTTTTTTTTGTCCGCCACGTTATACGAACTACATTCTGCAGGCTGTACTACAGCTAGGCTAAAGATCGTGCAACGTTACGATTAACGTCCGCTATAGAAAAGGGACGGGGGGATTCCAGTGTAACAGGTTCAACAAATTGATTTTTTTGCGCGCGCGTAAATTAAAAATATGCATTACGCTATTGCTATTTACTCTTTCTAACGGGAAAAATACTAATTATTAGGCGCAGAAATTAACTAAGATTATGGAGCTGAAAGCGTTACGATCGACAGAGAAATAAAAAAAAATCTTCGAAAAGGTGTCGCGGTTACGGCAGGGTTAACGAGCCCGTAAACGCAACGAATTATTTCCTTCCTCTTCCCAACAAACTAACCATTCGTCCCTTTATCGTTCGGGTTAATATAATTTAAGGACTAATTAAATTTATCGGACACCGCGGCGAACGATACGTTTCTCTGAATTCTTAACGGACAAACGGACGTTTGTCCCGTTCCCTGGTTCGGACTATCCCTTCCGAGAATGAAAAGACATCGACGGAAGTCTTTAATCTATAACATAACGTGCCCCCAACGTGAAAGGTTTTGCAAGGAAGAGTTCAAGGCGCGCATTGTCCGTGCTCATCTGGCGAAACTCCGGTGTCAAGGGCGACAGCGCTTACAACCGGGATATTAAATTAATTACCGAACCGTGTCTTCTACCGGCGGCACTATAATGAGTGTCGTACATTACAATCGTAACAGCGGTCATGATTGTGTCATCCTCGAGCAACGTTAGAAAGGAAAAATTTCATTCGAAGAAAAAGGAAATCGCACGGACTGAACGTACCGCTATCGATAAAGTTATCGATATGTCGCTGGATATCATTAGGATATCGATAATTATTGTTGTATTAACACTAGAATTACCGACAATTATAGTGTGTTTATTTGTACCAAGGAAATTGAAACGATAGGTGTGCGAAGAAATGTATAATGCAATGGAAATAAGTGTTTATTCATTCTCTTATAGAAATTACGAATTTTTACTGGTTTGGTAGTTCTAGTATTAAATAACTACGAGGATTGCAACAATAAATACCACGAGAAACGTTAGATCGAACAGTTTCCAATCGTTTAAAGGCAAAATTTCACGGATTTTGTCTGGTGTTTTTTAACACGTTAAAAATGGAACATCGTTTACGGGGGCACACGCTGACGAATGAACGCTCGTTTGCATGTCGAGCATTATGCAAGAACAAGGTCACAAAACGTCGACTTCTTCCTGTTCGAAACGAGCATACAAGAAAGAAAGAAGAAACGAAACGAGAAAAGAAAAACGAACCATGCAGAAGCGTAACTCCATAAAAACAAAAAGTGATCAAAAAAACAGCAGACTGTGCCACTTAACTCAACCGTGAACAAAATTCTCGTGTTAGAAGACATTCCGGAACTCGAGGCTCTTCGTTATTATCTACACCGTATTACAATTACGAACGTGTCTCTCCCGGTTTCGAATTAACGGGCACCGATAGCCACACCGTTACAGAAACCATTTTTACAGTCGAATGTAACAGATTATCGAGTACGATCAACAGGACCGCTAACTTGTCCGACGGTCGCGAGACGAACAGGAAAGGAAAGATCCGTAACCACGAATAAAATTGCAATTAATTTTAATCCGACGCTATTTTTCATGCTTGTTGCGCCATCAGATTTCGTTTTCGCGGTTTAGAACAATTAGGTTTCAATTGCCAGCGAAATTCGAGAAAGTGAAATCAGGCAGGGGAGTCAATTAGAGCGAGGGAGATACGCTCCTGATCTACCGAACTGAGAAACAACCGAGATGTTATCGATCACGAAAGAAAGGAAAAACGTTGAGAAAGAAAGGAAAGACTGTCTGCGCCTCGTTTTTATGTATCTCGACAATCAGCTTCACATCTTAGCGCGAACTTAAATACAATGAACTCTCTATAATCCGTGTTAATAGGAGCGAGGTGTTGGACGGATAGATCGAGGGGGTTGGTAAATCCGAAGATATCTTCTCCCTTAGCAAGGAACCGCTCGTAGACACGTGATTGCAGCCTCAAACGGTGAACGCTGTGAAGAAGG